ACGCTTAGATGACAGTTATCACGCGCGTATCATTAATTTCAAGCGTGTTGCAAGTGTGTTTCCGACTTTCTATCATCCTGCGTGCTCCTTTTTTAAAACGTGGCGCACGCGGTCGATGTACCACGCGAAAAAAATGCGCGTTGCGGCATCGTCATTTTCGTATTGTCATTAATGCGAGCGTTCTAATCGTGACTTGTCATTATATATCCGTCCCGCATTGTCAGTGATGTCACGAAGTGTGATTATTACCGTTGCGTGCACGGGGTGTTTGGTAATTCGTCGTGACTTGCGATGAATCGGCCGAGGTTCTTCCTTTATTAAAGACTCAAACGGCTTCTCTTCCCATCGAGACTTTTTGTCGAATTAAAATTACTTTTAAAGCGAAATTGAATTAACTCTATTAATTTTTAGAATTTTAATTAACTCATAAAATAATCTTTATTTTTTCCTGATATATAATGAAGCAAATTTATTTTCTCGTTAATATCTTTCATTCTAAGAATTTCAAAACTATTTTTCCTGGGAATGTGTTAAGAATTTATTAAAGTAAGATTGCACTTGAAAAATTTAAAAGACTTGCCGCAAATTAAATTTTTGACAATTTTTAACTCGTCAAAATTTATTTTTCTTTCTCTCTTTCATGTCTGAGAAACTATCGAAAGCTCAACATGTATCTTAATTTTTATTTCTCTAATATTGTAGCAAAATAATTTTATTATCTTGGCAATCCGTCGAAATCCGTTCACCGATCGTGCAAATTTCTAAACACTCCAACTCGCAAATATTCGATGTAATAAAATCACACGTGACTAAATAAATAATTAAACTTGAAATCTGGTGCGCTGTAACATGTGCATCAGGCTTTAGTTTAAGTATTATTGTCGTATGGTGAAGCACCCGATAATCAATACTTCGAAGCGCGAGTTTATGCCCTAATGTTTCGTAATGTAATAAATTGCAATACTTTTTTCTCTCTCTTTTTTTCCTAATCGAGCATTCTCAAATATATCATCAACACGCAACATTATTGTCATTAAATGTATGCATAATACATCATGACACATGGTGTAATTTATATATATAATATATATATATATATATATATAGTATAATATACCGGGTGTTTTCAGACCACCGCCGTACAACCCCATTTTAAAGCAAAGGAAGTGGTTATGTTGAAAAAATGTTTCAGAACAAAAAGTTTGTTGAAGATAAAAGTAATGCATTACATGGGTAAATTTGATTGACCTTGGGTGGCGTCGTGAAGGTCATGTCAAGGTCGACTTGAATTTTTTTAAAATGGAACCCCTATTTTTTCAATTGCATATCTTGTAGCTTATCTCGAGAGCTTTCCCAACACTATAATTAAGTTAACCCTTTTTATTAGTAGCTTTTTGAGTTATAAGGCTTGAAATAAATTTCTTAATTTTATATAAACCATAAAATATCTAGTAAACCATTCATTTTTCGATTATCTTACCTTCATACTTTTATGTACAAAATAATGAGAGGAATCAATTGGTGTAAAGAAAACACATAGTTGTTTCTAAGAAAAAATATGGAATTGTTAATTGCAAATTACATATTTTTTCTTAGAAACAACTATGTGTTTTCTTTACACCAATTGATTCCTCTCATTATTTTGTACATAAAAGTATAAGGTAAGATAATCGAAAAATGAATGGTTTACTAGATATTTTATGGTTTATGTAAAATTAAGAAATTATTTCAAGCCTTATAACTCAAAAAGTACTTAATAAAAAGGTACTTAATTATAGTGTTTTGGAAAGCTCTCGAGATAAGCTACAAGAATATGCAATGAAAAATAGGGGTTCCCATTTAAAAAATTCAAGTCGACCTTGACATGACCTTCACGACGCCACCCAAGGTCAATCAAATTTACCCATGTAATGCATTACTTTATCTTCAACAACTTTTGTCTGAAACATTTTTCAAAATAACCACTTCCTTTGCTTTAAAATTTACGGTCTGAAACATATATATATAATCACGATATATATATAATTACATTTATATTAACGTACAACATAATAACGCATACGACATATCTATATATAATCTTATTTGCCGACGAGAATGCGAGACGATACTTACCGATAAATATCGATACATATACGTATCATATCGGTATGCATTTTTAAAAAGGTCTCGCATAAATTGACTAATTTTGTGGATTCCTTGAAAGGAAAAATGAAAACTCTAAGCTATTCAATTCATAGCTCTCATACACACGCTCCAATATACGTGTACTGCACATCGTAACATTAGCATGTACTTTGTTCATAAACGTGAACATCAGATTGGAGGAAAATTAGGCGATCGAATCGGTTAATTGTGTCTTTGTTCTAATTTTTGTTATTAAAAAGAATTATTTATGTTTATTTGTAACAATTGAAGAAACATTTTTTCAGAGCGTTCAAAAGATATAAATGTTCTTGCTGAAGAACTGAATTAATTTTTCTCTCTCTGCAAATTTTTTATAATTGGAAATATATAAAAATTTAATATTTCTTTTAACCTTTCTCTTATTCTTTGCTAATTTTAACGCTAATTATTTGAGTTATGTAAGAGCAAAATTCATCTAAAATTAATTGACAAAGGCTTTATTACTTACGATTCTTAAAACTCTTTGATTACAATCGCAAGATTTTATTTTTCAACCGTTTGTAGTTCGATATTTTTGTTAAAAAAGTATAGTTTAATTTTTCTACAAGAAGATTATCGTCGCGTGTATTGAACATTAAATATTCTGCATATAAAAAAAAATGGAATAATCGAAATTAGCCGTTTCGAGACCTAATTTTTTCTACCATCCACATGTTTTTCATTCCGCTTCCTTGTATGTGCTCCGTTTTTACTTTTGATCGCTCACATGTGTGATCACAAAGGGCCTACATATATATATTTATATAGAGTAAAAGATGTGTGTGTATGTGTATGTGTATGTATAATATACGTATGTATACGAAATACACCTAGACAATATATAATATACTGCTTCTCTTTTTTTTCTAAATATTTCGATCTTACTTTGATTTTTGTATATTCACTTTCATGATTTGTCTACTTAATAGCTTATCGGTACTTTCTTATGATACTTTCATCTCGTTATCACTTTCTTACGAATACTTTCATACGTTTCAAGTTATAAGCTGCTACGCGAATGTTTCCAGATTTGACTCGGATATTGAGAAAACTCGCGCCATATAATCAATTTAGAATCCGATTTATGTAATCGCGCTAACTCGTCGAATTTACGATCGTCCCGCTTTACTATGTTTCAAATAATTAGCATTTTGTTTCTGGCGAATATTAATGGAAAATTAAGTAATAGTTCCACTTTCTCCTTGCGGTTCCTCGCGCTTTTTATGCCCATCAACTTCGCACACGCAATATCCATACATTATAAATATTTTGAATATTTGTAGATTCTTCTTCAATATTCAAATATCTCATAATATCCAGATTTCTGAATCTTTATTAAGTGTGTTAATTGTTCTCGTAAACATTTTCCTTGTCTAACTCACAGTCAACATATTATATGTCTGAGAGTTGAGTTGTATTGGATACTGCAATTTGAATATCCACATGAATATTCAAAGATAATTTCTTCAAATATCTATGCTGTATGGATAATCCCATTATTTTATTCCCAATTTAATTGTACTATATCCAAGTGTGTAAAGATGTCGCGCGTCTTTGCGTATAATTTTAATTTCGACAAACGATTTATACGCCGTTTATTATATCGATTTGCGTAAACTTTAACTCTTCTCTTTATTGCTATGTTTCATCGCGTAAGTAAATTAATCGAAAGTCACGAAAAAATTCGGAGGGGAAGAAATACCTAAAAGTTTCAGCGATTGAGCCATGTCGTGTGTCCCGAGATCTCTCGCGATTCCATTTTTTTTCAAACCTTGCTGTTAATTATTGTCCACGGAGAATTATTGTCTGCAACGGTTTGAATTATTGTCGGTTTGGGACATATCTCGATCTCGTCGCTAATGTAAGCAACATCATTGCCATTAATATTTTTTATAAAAAGGATATTCGCAAATATCTCGCGAATATCGTATATCCTAATAAAACACACTTCAGAATTTTACGACTTAAAAAATTCTTTAGGCTATCGATATCCTAATCTTTCTATAGATTTCTTTAAATTAGGACAACATTCTCTTCCACCTAATATCTTACGAAAGAATTAATGCATTCACCTCATTTTCAATTATTGCAAAACCTGCTTTGACGATTTGTTTTAGTCTCTTCTGAAAAATATAAACGCGGCTAATTGCACGTGTCAAAAAGATACATTTTTAAAATTCCGATCAGTTGTTCCTCATTTAATTTACTTTAAAGAAATCATACGACCGACTAATAATGCAAATCTATGATCCTTTCTAGCAAAAACTTGAAGTAAAGAAATATCTTTGGATTCAATTTTTAGACATCTAACGAGTGACTTATTGTCGTTTTTAAAATGGCACGCATTAAACTACTCATCTCTATCTCATTTATCGCAAAATACTATAAATAATATTGCACGTATCTTTAATAAAGTTTATATAAACAACAAATTATCTATCGATGAATCTCGTTAATTTTACGTTAATTTGACGTAGCCGAGATAAAATCCCTCTCATGTTGTTGGGAATTACTTGTGTGATCATTCATAGCATCAGTCTCTGCACTCTTAGATATTACGTTCAACAGAAAATTTGCGGATATTTTTACCGAGAAACTTAGAAATGTGCATTTTAACATTTAACTATCTGCACCTTGCAATTCATAAAATCACCAAACCATTGAAACTTTATTTATATATGCGATTCTCAGACATACTGCGAGACTTGTTAGTCTATAATTAATATCAAATAATTAAAATTCTAATTAAATTATATTTATTATAATATCTCATTTTCTTTGAATTATTAAACGAGAACGAGATGCTTTTATTGTTATATAATATTTCAAATTATTATAAACTTCCGCTTTATTTTCCTTGAGGAGGAAAATAAAATAGGTTCGACAACATTTTTCTCTCAAGGAAAACAAAATCGCGAATCTGCGATCTTTGCAAGCTTCACTTTCGCGAGTTCCGGTAAAATGAAAACGCAGTATGTCCGAGGAACCGGCAGATTGACGGCTAATGATAATGTATGACCTACAACCTCAGGAGAACGCAGTCTACTCTTCTCGTATCCGATCGCTCTATCCGGAGGCCGACCATTCTCAATTCCACTGCTGATTGTGCACAACGTCGTGCGCATAGTTGTCCGTTGCCGGTGGCTGCACAAGAGACGCGCTAATGTCGCTGGCGAACGGATTCGTCGAGTGGAACGGATTGTTACTTTGGGTCTCCGTCGAACCGTAGCTTATCACGGGGGCCTTATTGTCCTGTTGCATGTACATGTGATTCTCAGGCGCCGGTTGCTCGTAAGTGTTCCAGTCATCGCCGACTCCGTCCCGGGACGGTTGTTTCTGGAAAGACGACAATGTCGCGTGATTTTTCGCGAAATAAATATCTTTATTTTCAAAAAAAAATTTAAAAAATTTTTTTGAAAAATAAAATCTTGAAAATCTTAGACGATATCGACGTCACAGTTTGTAAACATAAGTGGAAGTATGGCAATTTGAAAAATAATTGCATCACAGTTTTGACATTTCTTTAAAAATTGCATCAACTCGATGTTTTGAAAAGTTATGTTGTTCTATAACGATGTTAAATATCCCCCTTGGAGATAATTGTTGACGCACTTACTATAAATTCAGATTGCATGGTTTTCGGCGGAGGTGGCACGGGCGGTTTCGTCTGTCCGAACTCGTCCATCTGATTCCAGGCCTTCTGTTCCTCTAGTGTGGGATCGGCCCAGGGTTGCAACTCGCCGGAGCAGAAAATCGCGTAAAACGTCACTCCGAAGATGTGGACGCACGCTGCTATGATGAAAACGTTTCGCCAACTATGCGCATCCTGCGCAGAATATTTTTTCTCTTTAGTAATCATAAAAAATTATTCAAAATTCAAATTACTCCTTCATTTTCGAAATTTCAATTTGTGTTATTTAAGGATGTTTCGTACCTATTTTCAAAATATTGAGAATTTAATAAAAATTGTACAGAATGTCCTTACATATGTTTAGAATTTTCAGTACAATTTTTAAATCGATTCACTAAAGTTCCCAAGTTATAAGGATTTTAATTTGCACCGAATTAACATGTGTTCTTATAGGAAACGTATAACCACGTCGATTCAAATGACAAAAACACATGGAAATAATATTCAGAATTTGTTTAAAATTGATAAAAGTGTAGTTTAGATACAGAGGAAATATTTGGTCAAATAATATTATACAAGTACTAACTGATTAAAAGATATTAAATATAATTCAATAAAATTAGCCATGTATCTGACACAAGACGAAATTTTCTGCCAAAAAGTTAATCATTTCGATTAACAAAATTCGGAATATTTCAGTAAAAACGTAAATATTAAAAAATACATCTCTGCACTGCACTGTAGCTAAGATCAAATTGTAATATTTCACGCAATTTCTCATACTCAAAATACCAAAAGGATATATTCGTCAATATTATATTGATTTTCAGCTACGTTTTGCTGGGATTGTACATACAAAGCATCCTTAAACACATTTTAAAAATTTTTAATTTCCCTTTTTTCACAGATTTGTACCAGCCAATATATTTATCGATATTTATCGATCGAAAAATTGCTTCCTTTTTGTACCTTCTTCTCCGTGATGTTGTCCACGAAGAAAGGAACCAAGAGACCAGCAATGGTGCCGATCCCGTTGGACATGCCCATTAGGATGCTGGCGTATCTGGGCGCGATGTCCAGATGATTGACGTTGAAGCCGGAAATGGCGAAACCGCTGCACGCGACGCCGATCGCGAGGGCGACCGTAGCCGCGGTTCCATTCCTGGACGTCGTCGCGTGTGCCACCACCAAGAAGAAGAGCGCCTCCATTCCGAAGCCACCGCAATTGAAAACCTTCCTGACATTCGTCGTCGTCATGATGCCACGTTTACGGAGATAATCCGCCAACAAACCACCGCATGGTACAATCATCGTCATCAACAGATGAGGAAGCGACCCGATCACTCCAGTCTGTCATGGAACAAAGTGATTAGTATATCGACGAATAATAATATTTTAAATTCAAATAAAAATAAAAATTATTAATTAAATTCAAATAAAAATCAAAATTATATTTACAAATTATTAGACATGCTTGAAAATTATTGTAGGAATATGTTGTACAGATGTTACTGACCTCGACGAGCGGCATCCCGAAGGATTCGTGCATGAAACGCGGTTGAAAGAGCACCAGCAGATAGAAGTTCCACGATCTGCAGAAATTGGCGACGATAATGGCGTATACGGGCATGGAGGTGAGAAACTTTCGCCAAGGCGTCGTCGACAGAGTAGGTACGGGCAGCTGCGTTTGTCCCTGACCGAGAGAGTCCTCGATGTAGCGTAATTCCCGAGCCGAGATACACGGGTGTTTCGCCGGCTTTTCGAACGCCAGCCACAACCAGAAACCGTACCAAATTAGGCCGCAGACGCCTACAATTTGTTGCGTGAAACGAAAAATTGCGTATTTTTCATCATCTGTCCTTCTAGGAGTCTATATAATAACTAATTTGCAAAAAAAATATCGACGAATCTTATGCCTGTAAGTGAATATGAGGCTAATGGCTTGTTTACCATAAAAGTAAAATGACGCCGTCCAGCCGAACCAGGCACTCAGATATCCGGAAAGCGGCATACCTATCACCATCGCGGCATACGATCCGCAAAACGCTAACGTGGCCAGACGTGATCTTTCCAAAGGTGGCGCCCAGTATTTCCAAATACCGTGGCACGCCGGATACGTAACACCCTGCGAAAAATAAAAGTGCGACTGTAGGATTGAGAGTGAATTTAAAAATTTATAGTATAATATTTGTGACTTTTTTAAATTATAATTTTATTAATTCTTTATCTCTTGCTTTAAGTCTAAAAAAATAAATATCTGATTGAAGCAAATGCAATGTTATTGAATCACATGTAAGAAATTAAACAAGTTCAATTTTATCGATGTAAAAAATTGATCGTGGGATTGCTAAGATAATTAATTCCAGATTTTACACGTGAAAACAAAATATTTCTTACGTTATAGAGCATATTTTTAATTCTTACTTTCGGGTTTGATTTTGTAGATGCTCACCTCGACCAGTCCCTTACACACTTGCACGATCATGTCGACGATAGGATCCACCTTCAACGCGCCGGGCACCAGCAGATTCAAGAAGGAAGATATCGCGATGGCGGTGCCGAATATCCTGTTCGCGGGATATAACGACGCGAGGAAGCCACCGGGCACCTGCGTCACCAGGTAACCCCAGAAGAAGGACGAATCGAGGGCGCTTTCCACGCCGATCGTCCAATTAAATTTGATACTGCTGTTTTCGCCGTCCGTGGTATTTTTCATCACCAACTTGGCCATCCCCATGTTACATCTCATGCCAAACGAAATAACGAATCCTGAAAAACGCGATGAATTAAGATAAAAAGTAAGATATTATTTTATAAGGGAAATTAACTTTCTCTTAGAGATGTAAAAAAAAAAATGAAAATTTTATTCTCTTATTCACGATAACGCTAAATATTTTCTTCTACTTCCTGCAAAAAGTCATTCGCAGGAAAATCCACTCGTACTCTATTTTTTATTTAATTTTTAATTTATCGTGAAAACAAATTTAAATTTTTTTGGATGATTTTAATAATAACGAATTGTCTTGTAATTTATTGTCGATTGTTACCTAAGCAAGCCAGCGTCGCGATAGTGTATCTCTTGGAAAGACACGGACATTCCGGCATGCAATATGTATCAATATGACGTAATGGTGGTCTCTCCGGTTCCGGAAGTGACTCGAACGAGGCATGTCTACTGTACTCCCTCTCATCCTCGAACCCCCTATTGTCCTTGCTACCCTCGTGCGGGCCTTCGAACTCCTCGTAACCGGTTTTATTCCTTCTGAATCTACAGAGAAGCAAGAATTCGTTCAAAAGAGTTTATCTTATTGCATTAGATTTTTTTAATAACTTTTACCATTTTCAAAACCACTTGTTTTCACAATTAAAGTTGCGTGCACAATATAAAAAACATAATTGAAAGCATATTATGTATAAATTAAAAAGTTGCCTAACGTAATTTTGCAATAATTATTTTTGTATCATGTCAAAACAATAAGGCATAAAATTTTAATTTATTAAAATTCTACACAGAAAAAAGGACATTTTTGTTTTGAAAATATATTTAGTTTTAACATGAAAATCTTGAAATGAGATTATATTGCGTTAGTTAAAGAAATATATAATTGCTTGAATAATTGCTTCCTTGAATGAAGTCATTTTATATAGTTCAATCGATAAAAATATATTCTTATGATTTAAGATTTAATTTTCTTGAATGGAAAAGAAACAATGTTGGATAGAAAATAACATTTTTAAATCAAAGATTATAATTTTCTTAAAGTAGAATTAAATAATTATATATTCTCTAGGTGACAATTACAATATTAAAATAATATTGTTGAAATTTAAAATCTTCTAAGAAGATTCTAAGAAGATTTAAATTCTTCTAAGAAGATTATAAATTGTCGCGTATATACGAAACAATAAACGCCTTAGTTTAAGTATATAAGTTTTGATTTGACACTTATTTTTTTCTGTGTATAAATATATACATATATGCGCACATATATAAATATATATGTTACCCGGATAATTTCTGCGACGTTTTCGTCTTAAAGGAGTCAAAGGCTACGAGACCCGCCGCTGCGAATCCGGACATTTTCCAATTATTGGGGTTGCTCTGGGGTTTCGTAGGCTCACGATGTTAATAGGCAGCCCCTGCAGAATACAAAATATAACATCTATAAAACAGTTGTCTCGTATATAATTTATTGCAAATTTTATGAAAAAAAAAATCAATAACTCGCGCACTGACTTTACAAACAAAATGTATTAAATAATTCAACTGTATCGGAATATCGTCACACAAGATGCCACACAAATTTCTCAAAATGATATTAAGATTACAAATTTTGCAAACGTAAATAATTTTAGAAAGAGAAATACATGTTTCCAATGTTATTAGAAATAGCTTTTGCCTCGTATCTCGGTCACCCACAGCTCCTTTTGGAAGAAAGTCTGGGGTATATATCTATATATATATACCCCAGACTTTCTATATCTATATAGCATCTCTATAGAACGACACACAGCGAGGGGAACTCTCGGGTAGGACTGTTTATTTGGAGTGGCAGTCTCTCCACCCCTAATCCCCGAACTCTCGAGGGAGCATCTTCGGAGGGTAGAAAACTGTGAGAAGAAACGTTCGCCGGCCGTACACCGAGATCATATTTTTCACTTAGAACCCGTCCTAGGCCGTATACATCTCGCCGCTTAAAGTATAAAATCTTAATCAAATCTATCCTTCATCAAGATGTATTAATGCACTGAAAAATATATAATAAATACGAGTTTTAGCGATTCTCTGGTATGAAATCAAATCAAATAATTTAGGATGAAACTACAAATGCGCATAACAATATAAGTTTTTGCGCTTTATATTTTCTTTCCAACGTGCCAAAATTTTCTATTTCATTTGCAATCAATATCGTTACATTTTTATATTTTTTAACTTTTCGATATATATCTTTTTCTCACAATTTACATTCAAAAGTTAACTTTTGGCATTTTTCATTATTATTTAGCGCTTTTAGTCTATGATTGAAATAGTCTCGTTGCATCATCGTCATCGTTGCACGACGGAGCCTGCAAAAATCGTTACGAGGGTGCTGCGCCGATCGTAAAGAGGCGCATCGGAGGACAATGGCTCTCTGGATATTAAAACGGCACGTGACAGACAAAAGGCACAAAATGCACAGTGCGTGTTAACGAATCGGGGTGGAGATTGACAAGTATGGGACGAATATGCTGACTCAACTTAATGGACATTGAGCGATATTCGGCAAGTGTCTCGCATTCTGAATCGTGACTTCGCATCTAATATCTCCCGAAATTTTCCGAAGACGGACTTGAATAATAATTTAAATATAATTAAATAATACTTTTTAAATAATAATAAAATTTTGTTTAAAGAATAGAATAAAAACCGAGAAAAATTTTGATAAAAAGCCACGTGTGAGAAACTTTAGAATATTATTCTTCCTGTTATTATTCTTTTCCATGTATATATTTTTTTATTTGAGATTTTCCATGTACATGTATATTCTTTTATGAAAATCAATCAAATAATTATTGCGGAATAAAGATAAAGCTCATTTTCACGAATAAATGATGATAAATAGTGCTAATGAAAGTATTCTCTACTACGCGATATTCAGAGAGAATCTCAATTAAAGCAGAAACTCAATTTGCAGCTAATCGGCGGAAGAATGGCGCAAACGAGCTGACTGAAATCTCTCGCAGCCTCGGGCAATCTCGTGTAATTCAAGTTCGAAATGTGAGAGATACACATCAAATGTTAATATACCTCGCATAATAATTTTCATGTATCTAAAAATTTACATAATCAAACGCCACCGAAATTTTTTATCAAATTCTCTCGTGATTTCGTGCTTTTCACATTATGAAAGAAAACACATATCAGACATGGATCACTTTTAAAAACTGAATACAAACAAGACCACTATTTTTTGCGATCTGTTTTTCACTTAAAATGAACATGTTGTAAGAAGAACCAGCCGATTATTCCCTCAGAGAAAAAGGTAACATAAGATAAACAATTTTATTATCACTTTTCTCGATTCCAGAATCGAAGAATCTATCCCGAAATTTCAAATTAAAAATGGATGACGAAAACTAAAATTAAGAAGTTTAATAAGAAGTTAAATAAAATGGATGACGACTAAAAATAAAAATTAAGAAGTTTAAAACCACATTTTCGGGTAACTTTCGGAATTTAAAATTATCATCACTTCGCGATTGTCACTCATACCCTCGAAATAATCTCCGAACGTCTTTTATCACAGGAGAGAGAAATGATATTAACGAAGGTACACTTAGGTAGACTTCTACCAAGTCTCGTTCCATCCCTTTCGAAAGGTCACGTACGTTCCCCATTTTGCTCGCGAGCAAAATGGAATCTCTGGCATTCACAATTTTTTTTAATGCTTGAAGAAAGTAACCGAGAAAACCGAGGAAAACGAGCGACAGAGGTACTCGCGGCACTCACCAATAATTAAGTCCAGACGCAATTACGAGCGGATTGGGTGACAGTAGCGCGGGGTACGCGACGGAGAACGTCGTCGACGTCGCCTGACGTCGTCGTCGTCGTCGTCGTCGTCGTCGCCGCCGCCGCCGCCGTCGACGGTGGCGGCGACGGCGTCGGCGTCGGCGTCGGCGTCGGCGTCGGCGTCGGCGTCGGCGTCGCTGGCAACCAAGTTGACTTGTACACGGCGCATCCCGGTGCGACGACGCGATTGGATCGCCGGGTGCGACGCATCTATATCACTGGCCAATCGCCGCCATTTACTACCCCCTTTAGATTGACCCCAGGCGGAGCTTCGGCTGCACCCCCGGGCCAAAAGTTTGCAATAACAAAACGGCACGCACCGGAAATAAGCGATCGTAACGGCGTTAAGGTATTGAAACAGGATAACACGCGCGCGTTACTTTGGGTCTCATTCTCCTCCCCCCCCGAGAGATTTGATAATCGAGCGGGGCTATTAGAGGGTTGGATTTGGTTTCTAATTTGCGAGGGGGACGAGTATCATATTTGCACATTTTGCCTAAAAGCTCGAAACATGATTGTAAGGTAGAAAGAAAGATTACATTTAACATTAATTATGTTAATTAATTAATTGTAAAATATTCAATTTTAATTTTGAGATTAGATTTGACAATCAACGTGGAACTTTTAAAGCGTCTAAAAATGTATGAAAATTTCCCAGCAAACTAAAGTTCTAAATTACAATTATATGAATATATCTTTTACGAAAAAATTTGATATTAAATTTAAAACTGGAGTTGTTGTAACAGCCCTTATTATTTCAATCATTTCATATCAATCATTATCGTATAAACAAAATCAATTCATTATCGTATAAACAAAATCACGAAAATAAAAAAGTGTATTAATGATATAGATTAAATTTAAATCCTAAATAGATTTAAATCTAAATGTATACAAATATCTGACATTAAAGCAAATATCAATGTTGATAGATTTTAATTAGATTATATGAATCAAAGAGATGCTAAAAATTAAGAAATGCTCATATCAACGTTAATTAATTCGAAAATATTTAATTTTAATTTTGACATTAGGTTCTACAATCAATGCGGAATCAAATTTTTAACTTGAAAGCGTCTAGAAATGTATGAAAATTTCCCAGCAAACTAACGTTCTAAAGTTACAATTATATAAATTATATAAATTTATATAAATACATCTTTTATGAAAAAATTTTATATTAAATTTAAAACTGGAATTGCTGTAACACCCCTTATTATTCCAATTCATTTCATATCAATCAATTCGTAGAAATAAATCGCGTATCGTAGAAATAAAATCGCGAAAATAAAAAAGTGTATTAATGATATAAGTTTCCTGTTAAATTCAAATGTCAAATAGATTATCAACTCTAAACGTATTCAAGTACGTGACATTAAAGCAAATATCAAGGATTCTGTGATATTAATAGATTTTAATTAGATTATATGAATCAAAGAGATGCTAAAAATTAAATGCTCATATCGATGGAGAATTCTCCTCAAAATTTCGTAGCCGACTTGCATTGTTACAAACAGAGAGAGATCGAAGAAGAGGGTAGAGGGGAGAGAGTAGACACTCTTTCCGGTGGTTGCCAGGAAATATCGATTTGCCCGGAGGGATGCTGCTATTCTCAATGGCTGGTACAATACTTTATCTTCTCTTTCGGCGCCGCGGTGCGCCCTAAATAACTCGGATTTCACTATCGTTCTGACGTGCCAACGAACGCCTGCTGCAACACAACTTAATCCATAAACGAGAATTGATTTGTCGAGTTTTATAGCACTTTGACGATCTAACGGGCAACAAAATATATTTTTTCGCTTTCTTTATGGGATAAGAAAATTTTCTGAGGACTTGATTTTTATCAAAAATTTTCGCGCTTTAAAGCCAGAGGGAATTTCTTATTTGGTTTGAAATCTTGAGGTTTTCGCGAAGCGATTATTGATACAATTTTATTCTTTATATTCAAGACCTTGAACAATATCTCGTCTTTTCGGTCACGTTCAAAATATGCTCAATATAAAAAACAATCTTATACAGTCGAAGCCAAATCCAAATATTTTTTCTCGTGTAATCTCCATAGATTTATCTCTTATGAAAGTAAAAGATGATGATACAGTAATTAATTATAAATTGAATCGTTTTGTCAGTTTTAGTTTGCTGCATCTAATTTATTTTTTTTATTTAATATTTAATATTATATATTATTTAATATTTAATATTTAATATTTTAAGGGAAATGTACGATTATTATTATTTTTTATTTCTATCTAAAAACAGATTCATAGAAGAAGATATTGAGCAAGAAGTCATTTCTAAACAATTAATAATGTCGCTATTAATGCCTCGAGAATATTTTATTGTATGCAATGTATTAAAATATTATTTTACAGCGTTACGAAATTATCGCGTCAATCAAACTCTCTCTCCATCGAGCTCTCGACATCGTGTCAATTTCGTAAAAATCATCGTCCGGTTGCAGCGTCTTCAGCAATGCGCATTTGATGTTTCTGCAGAGTTCCACGTATCGTAACAATTGTAACTTGAAGTCCAGGTCGAGATCGTCCGTGTAATCATTGCAGATGTCGGTCAGAATCCCGAAGACGCGTTTCTTACGTAGTCGATCGTTGTCGGAAGGATCTGTATCCTTCTGCTGATTTTTGGCCCTCGATTTGTCAGATCGAGATTGCTTGTACACATTTTTAACTTCTCCTCTCTGAGAAGAAGATGATGAAGCTCCGAGAGATTCATTGCTAGAATATTTAATCCCCTCTGGTACTCCTCTGTGCGTCCTTGCACGTCGCTCACATCCGCGTTGCGTCTCCTTCCATCGATCTGGATTACGTATCCCTTCGTAGACACGTTTATCGTCACGTGTCTCCTTTCGCTGTTTGCGCGTACAACGTCCAAGATATTTCGAATTGTTTCCGGATACTTTAGCCGATTGCGAGGAAATTGTTACACTTGTCCCATAATTGCTAAAGTTGCAAGAGCTTTTCACGATATTTCGCTCGGTCCTTTCCCTTCTATTGCTTCTACTAAGCTCGTGTTTTTTTAAATCCTCGACTGCAGGAGTTAACGAATCGTAAGAAGTTTCGATCGAGCGAAAAGTCGACAGGATCTCGCTGCCACCGGTCAATCTACGATCGTGAAACTTCATCCGTCCATCTTTCTCTTCTCCACATCGATTTCTACGGATTGATAGAATTACATTCGAGGACTCGCGTGAAGACGGAATACAACCGTGTCTGCAGCAGTTGCAGGTTGAGCATGAAGTTACGCTGTAGCTCTGTAAAAGATAGATAAATGGAATAGAAGAATTATTCTAGCGTTTTAAAGATTATTTTAAATCAGAAAAAGATAAATTGAAAATTAAACTCTAGTTTTAGAGACATTAAATATTCAATGTAAATAAAACCTTTTGTGAGTCATTTATTTTTTTCATGTAAATAAAACCTTTTTGAGTCGTTTATTTTTTTTCATGTAAATGAAACCTTTTTAAGTCATTTATTTTTTTTTTATGAGAAGTATACATACCTGTCTGACGCATCTTCCATTAGTCTTCCCTCTAGTATCTTCGTTCTTCCAAAAGGTTCCCGATGCATTCGTTTTAATTCCGTCGTTGAACAATATTTTTCTCAGCTTCGCGTGAATCAGACGCTTTATTCTACGGACAGACCTATCGATGGAATCGCGAAACTTCGTCATCACGAGTATCGCTTGCGGTACTTTGGCAGAGTAAACATTATCTTTACGCGATGCTGCTCCATATTTGATCGCAGGGAAGGAAGTTACGTTGCGAAAATCGTTCGACGAGCTTACGCAAAGCTTCGACAGTCTTGTGGAGTTGTACGAATTTTCAAATTCGCCTCGTCTGTCGCTCGCAGTGAACTTGCTCATCGAGGGACAGCATCTCGACATGCAAAGATACTCTTCCGTTGAGATATCGGAACTTTCCGAATTTCCGTTCGATCGAAGCTCGCATCTCGACACGAGAGATCTTGGTGGTTTAATAAAACCTCTCGTTTTATGGGAAATTCTTTTATTGCCAAGAATTTTACGTCTTTTCCTCGGAACGATCAGCGCAGAAAGATCCATCGTTTCGACGCGCCTTGGTGTCTTCGTAGATGTGCTTTCATCGTCATTGGATGCCAACCAAACTGGGGGATAACTCACGTTCACGCTGATGCCTTTCGATGACACCCGTAACCTGGGCGTTTGAATGGAAACCGTCAACGAGTCATTGTTCTTGGATGATGCCTCCGACGACTTGCAATGATTCGCGCTCCGAATTTTCGCATCACGATCATCCCGAGACTCTTCGAAGCGAATATTATCGATGACCGTGATGTCTATAAAATCGACATTACGACTCGAGTTACACCCAATTTCTGCCTTCGCCGAATTTAACGAGCCATTTTCCGATTCTTCGTCGATCGCTCGGATATCATTGTCCAAGAAACGATTACAGTTTAATTCTACCAATTGTTTGTCATGCTCGGAATTTTGCACGAATGACGTGATGCTACATGTGTTAGCGTTGCATTCTTTGTCTTGTTCCCCTAAGTTTGACTCTTTATCCGAGGAACGAGTTCGATCGCATTGCGAGAAATCCGGATCTTCGTTGCTAAAATTATTTTCCACCTCGTGGTTTGTTTCCGCGAGATTTTCAGACGACAAACACACGCAATTCGCGTCGTCGATCATTCGCGTAATTTCCTCATTCATTATTGTAACTGAATTATCCGAGTCGATAATTTTCCTCCCACGCTTCTCCGCATCGTTTCCGCAACTGATTTCCATCGAATCCGGGATTTTACGAGTCTTTCCATCTCTCTCGTTCAAGTTATCAATCTGCGACGTTAAGTCACATATTTCTTCGGCAATGTTTTCGCGAGATTTGTTACAGGAGAAAGTTGTAAAATTTTGAAGACAGTTTGAAACACACTTTGTAATCGTGCATGTAATTCCTTCTCTGTTTCCATTTCCAGCCTCGTCTGATATATTCATTGCTGCGTCTTTTACACTTGGATCCAATCGTGAGCAGCATGTACCATCCAACTCTTTGCTTTCTTCCTCGACGCGTGCAAGTATGTCATTATCGTCATCGCAATATCGTTCGAAGCACTTTGATCTTTTCGCATCTGTATTCAGGTTTGATTTGCAAATCGAGATGACAAAATTCGGTCGGTCTACGTACACTTTGACAATCGTACGTCTACGAACACTTTGACATATTGATATCCTGGCGACGAACAGGCACTTATTGACGCTGCTGCTTTTCAATCTGAAGCGGATATATCCGGGATATATCTCGCAATTGAGATGCAACGTCTTCGTGAACCTGCTATCTAATTTGCCGAGAATATCATTGAGACACGAGCAAACATTGTGAACGCTAATCAGAAATTTTCGCTTCATCACAATGAAGCAAGATTCGGTCAAACACGGATCGGCCTCGAAGATTCGCCCGATCAAATCTCTCGGCTTGCAAGGTAAGGCCAAGCAAGTGAGGATAGATCCGGAAAGTGTCGGGCAGCTGCAATCCTCTGGATACATCTTGCGGACGATCATCTTCAATCTCTTAGCGAAGCTCTTCGCGGCATCGCAAGGTTCTTCGTCGACAGATTCGCTTTTATCGTTTTGGGACACTTCGTTGTGCGAAGAATCTTCTGTTTGTTGTAGAAAATCTTGACTTGTGTCAACGATCTGTTGATTTTCCGACGTCGTTGGTTGCTCGATACTTTTCTCATAAGCTTCAATAGCTTTTTTACATCTGGTCGGTCCTTTTGCATCGCAAGGCGACATCGTCACGTCTCTCGAATTCGAGTTACAATCCATGGTATCGGGATTCCTATCGAGTGAAGCTGGGCTGGAAATTTTTTTATACCATAATAGAGACGATATCGAACGCTTCATTTCGATGTGCAAATAATTTTTCAATTAAATTAGAACTTGACTATGCAAATAGCCAGAACAGTCGAGTCGAGAGATGCACGTGATTTTAAATTATAGCGATTCACACATACGTGAAGCAATCGCGATCCGCCCGATGGCACTTCTTCTCGTTGACAGAGTTCCACACATTGAGGCTTCGCAAGATATTGTTCTCGATTCCCAGCGCGTCGAGTTCGCGACAAATTTTATTCAATCTATAATATGGAGTAAGAGAATCCAGGAAGCAGGGAATCAGATCGTCTTTCACTACGCGTTTGACGGCACTTTTTATCGCTTTTTCCATCGTCCCGATATCATATTCGGCCGCTTTAATTAAAGGACCTCTCCAGGTGGCTATCGCGTCGATGAATTTTTTGACGTATGGAAATTGCACAGCCCATCGAGAATCCTCACTGTACACAAACTCTTCCAACAAGGAATGAATTCTGTATTCCAGGCTGGGCACGAAGAGCTCTCGAATCTTGTCGAGATAGGGTCCATATATCTCTAAATCGAATGCCGCGTTTCGGCTGGAAAACTCGCATGAATTTGTCTAAAATATAAGCGAGACGTGAGAAAAAAGATTTATATCTAAGAATTATTTTCCATAATATAAAAAAGATAAATCATAAAACATTATTTATAAAATTGTACATATATGTATACAATTTTACATTTTTATTACAGCAAAAGTAACTTTTATAATTTGACATATAAAGATAAAATATGAAATTTTATATCTTGTTATATATTTAATTATTTATTTAATTTAAATAATTATATTAATTATAATTATATTAATAATAATAATTTAATAATTTAATAATAATAATTTAAATATTAATATTTAAATAATTATATATATAATAGAAGCAATATTTTATTACCGATAATGTTTCATTTCTAAACGGCACATATAGCTGGTTGTCTGTCATGATAAGAGATCAATTTTGCATACGATTTCGATATAAAATTCAATAACAATTTTCTGCGTATATCTCAAACAATCTCTAGATATTGCTTCTGCAACAAGCATTCTAAATATATAAATAACAATAAATATCTGTACAACCTCCAGAAATGTCACATCAATTCCTTCGCGCGATATCTTGAAAATGGATTTGATCAAAAATTGCGTCAGCTGACTGAGTTCCTTTCCTACATTCACATTTATATATCTGTTCAATACGTATATGACATATTTTTGTTCGCGCAATAAATGCGATATTTCATGTTTATAATGTTATAAAGTCATATCCCCAATGCTCTCGCTGGACCCTTATATCATTTTTAAAACCGTCTGACGCAATTATACGAGACAATTTGCCTTCAGTTAAACTGCTTAACTTTGTTACCACCGCACGACTCACTAAATATGCTAATATGCTTGCTATCAGAAGTACACAGTATTACATAAAATCCTTAAAAAAGAAGAGAGAAAATAAAAAGCGGAAAGAAATCGAGCGCAAAAATAGCATCGAGTCAACTTTCAGTAAAGTTTCAATCTTATGGACAAACTTTAATCTCAAGTGGCTCTGAAAATTGGAGATTAGAAAATTGAATTTTTTTAAAATTATTATTTTATTTTATTTTATTACTATTTATTTAACTGTTTATTTTATTAGTTATTATTTTATTTTTAATTTATTTTATTTTGTTATTATATTTTTAATTTATTTTATTATTATTATTTTATTATATTTATAATTAATTCAATTTGAATTTTTAATTATTATATTTACAATTAATTCATTTTTTTACTTGAATTTCTTCTACAATAAAATAGGGGCATTAAAAAATCGTTTTTTTAACCAAATGAGTTTTTTATCCCTCTACGATAAAAAGGCAATTCGTATTCTCTCTCTCTCTCTCTCTCTCTCTCCTCCTTGCAAGCTGCGCATTCGACATCCCATATTATCCGCGATAAGAGTTCGCGATGCGTGACCGGTGGCACCCCCCGCGCGCGCCAGGATGACCAACAGCGAAGTATACAAAGGCTCCCTGGGGGAGCCAAGACGGGAAGGGAGATGGAGATCTCGAGGAGACGAAGGGCGCGTGACGGAGAGAGGACTGTCCGAAAATTGTGCGATACGGTACGAGACAGCCGTAACCCATTCACGTAGCGGCCTCCGGGCGGGGATCAATACTCGTGACGGCGAGAGAGCGTAACAACCCCACGCAGAGCCGACCACGCACGCGGCATACCCTTCCTCTCTCGATCCACCCTTCCCACAATCGCGCCGACAGAGGAATTCCGAGATGTCCCGACGCCAGCGGAACATCCTTCCCAGGATCGCGACTCGTTGCACAGTATTAAGAACACTTGGATTCTACCTTTTATTTATTTTTTAGACGACAGTAAGAAGAGAGGTAACAATAAAGTAACTTACACAATTGACAGTTTGTAGAGCGATTAAGTGTTCGAAGGTAAATCCTTCATCTTGACTACGCAATCTAGGATTCTATTTAACGATGGCAGTTGTCTCTGAATACGAAATTGCCGCAAGAGCTGCTCTCGAATCGCAGCTTTTGAACAAACTGATGTGTTCGAGATGTGCAGAATTGCGTCAACTGTTGCAGTTATCGCGCGCAAGCGTTACCACATAGTAGTAAATAAATCCGGAAATGTAAAGAACATCGGAGCATATCGTCGACCGGATACATCGATAGTAGGTTCCATCATCGATCGGTCCGTACATTAAGCATGAAATATCGTGCCTACGATAAGCACGGTCGGTTGCTTTCGCGCGATCCTACTTCCGGTTACCTCGTATTATCAATCCCACGATTAGTTGTACGATATCTGTGATCGTTATATCGCGTGTACAAAATAGAAACGAACGCGATGCGAGCATTCCTCGGAATAATTCGACATCGAACGGATGCAATTTACGTGGGTGTAATTCAGATTGTGTGTAGGAATCTTCGGCATCGGAGACTTTTCTTCGAACCGGGGCTTTGTCGACCGGATGCAAGATCGCTCGAAGCTTCAAGAATGTCCCGATACCGCCTCCTCCCGGCTGACATGTTCGAGATTGCCGTACATCTATCAATCCTTGCGCTAATAAATAAACGTGGAGAGAAAATGCTCGATCGATTAAAGGAAAATTGGGCCACCGGGAATTTCGGGAGAATAAAAAGCTTTCGCTTTTAATCGTCATGTAACTATTAACGCAGGACGATGAAGATTAAAAAATGCTGATCATTTTAACCGATTAAAGAAGCAATTATTTCGAATCACCCGACACACGTGTTAATTCTTATCGTTTTATTAATCATTACTCGTTAAAAAAGAGCGCACGAAATTTTTGGGTAATACGACAAGAAGCAATTTATGAATTTTAGGGCGTATCAACGCGATAGATATAATCAATCCGCAGAGAGGTAAAGGGGAAATTTGATTCTGAAAATTGAGTTGTCGACACGCAATGCGCAACCGACTAATGGACGTTTGTATGCGACCGAACAACGAGGGAAGGATCTTTTGATCTTCCATTTCTCCCTCCCTTTTCCTTCCCCCGCAGATCGTATTTAAACCACCCTATATATAACCGATACGCTTAATGAAAGTGTCGGCTTGACAAACGATCGCTACTGCACTGAGTTTGCTGAGTCTTATAAAATTTGGTGCTTTTTATTTCCCTCAATTTTGTACACGTGAACAAGGAAATTCTACGAGAGATACTTCAATTATATATAGAGAGAGTAAGTGGTGCACAAAGAGGAAAAAATAATCCGCAGATATATAACTCTGAGATTTTCTGTTTCTCCCTTGTTGTCCATATTTGTATCTTCATCATCTCTTCTATTTTTATTTTCTGTTATAACAAGTAAAGAGAAATATTCTGCATTTTATATTTAATATTTTATGAATTAAATCAGATATATAACTCTGAGATTTTCTGTTTCTTCCTTGTTGTCCATATTTTTATCTTCATCCTCCCTTCTATTTTTATTTTCTGTTACAACAAGTAAAGAGAAATATTCTGCATTTTATATTTAATATTTTATGAATTAAATCAAAGAGAATATTTCTCTCTCTCTCTCTTTCTCTTTTTATTGCTCCCAAAATATTTGAAATATTATGATTCCTTCCTTTTTATTCTTCAGTATAAAAAAAATGCCACATAAAAGAACGAGCATTCATGTCAATTCATAGTGATATTAGTATATGGTTAATTTCGAGTAATGAATACGGCATGGTTGGGGAAACAAGATTATTCACTTTCTCAAGAGAATGTCACTACGAGAAGAAATTACATTTTTTTATGACGTTAACTTGCGCGTCGTGTCCGCGAAACAAAACGACCTCATACTTTACACGACTTTTATAGCCACGCGGTAGGACTTCGGGATATACGAGAGCTGCGGTTTTTATATCGGATTATCCAAACGACGTGTCCTGCACACAAATCACATTTGCGTAACCGTTGCTCATGAATGCCATTTAGATAAGCAAATAATCGATACGACGTTAATTAATCGGATAATTCTGCGTCGAGGAAAGATGTCGGTCTAAAAAATTGCAAGATTCGGGTTGCATTTTTTAAATACGTTCGGAATTAAAAAAAAAACCCTGCCCGTAATAAAGGAAATTCCCAGAAAAATAAAGCAATTAGCACATCAAACAGAATTTCAATCTTCGTACTCCGACTTATCCGGAAAAATATCGTCACGAGCCATTGACGTTGAATAAAAAAAAGCTGGATCCTATGTTATATATAAAAATTAAAGCACGTAAAATCAATCTCTTTCTAAAGGAAATCTACATTTTATACGATGTGGAAAAGTTCACGGCGCGTTCCCAGGTATATAGTTCAAAGTGTCGTATCAGTGCCATTCATCAGCGTTCCGCATCTATCGCTACCAAAAGGTAGCCCCCATTCCCGGACCACGTGACGCACATCGGTCACGACGAGTGACCTTTGGCAACGGCCCGATTCTGCGAGTGTGGATTGGCTGGCGAAAGGATCGGGTCGTAGGCGACGCGACGTAACGTGGTCGTAAACGAGGGGAAAAAGACGACTTGGACGACAGGAAAAAGGGTAAAATCAATACTCTGGTACTCGCGGGGACCGCGAACGGCGCTCGTCGCGACGACGACAATGACGATGACGACGACGACGACGCTCAGGAGGAGATACGCGTGTGCGTGTGCAGCTGGAATACGAAAACCGACGCGGCGTCTCTTCTCGAGGATATCTGGTCGAGCTGCCCTTCTTGTCGCGAGCTGCATTTGTCGATAAACCGGTGAGTTGGATGTCGGGGTGGTCGCATGAAAAGCCCATCCCCTCCGTCGACGATCATCATTTTCCTTAAAAACATAGTTATAATTGACGCAAGAATGCGCTCTAGGAGACTCTAGGATCGCGGGAGAAACTCATCGTACGAGAAATTGCTCGGCTCTCTTTGCAATTGTTAGATTAAAAATGCCTTACGCGATGATGATAATAATATAGTTAAAGGATAATGTGTATTCTTAAACTTTATAAAATTTAATTTAACTTTATAAAATTAAATTATATAAAAATTAAATTAATTATAGTTAAATTTATATAAAAATGATACCAATGATTTTTTGTATTTTCTTCTCAGGTGCACGTATTCATCACCATGCGGTACTGCATTCTGCTCCTTTCGCTTTTGATCGTTGTCATTACAGAAGCGAACATTTATTCGGACACTTATTTTGAGCACCCGGTAATTATCAAAACAGGATTCTGTATTAAAAAAGTAGATGAATTAAAATAAATCGAAAATTTATTTCTGCGAAACGAAACCTTTCTTCGGAGAGCGATTTAAAAGTTACTGGATTCTTTCCCCTTTGAAAAATTATATGCATCACTATTATAATTCAATTAAAAACAAAAAGATATACAAATCTTAATCTGGAAAGATTCCTGATAGTCTCCAATTATCATATATTTCTTGTACGAATTAAAATGAATAAGTCTGCAAATGAGAGACAATTGGACGATATCAAAGCCAATCAGTTATCGACTTCGAAGGAAAGTAAATTTCTATATCCTTTAATTCATTCATGTAGAGCATCCAAAGAGTGTACCTCATTATTCGAATGTAGGATGATGCGGACGATCAAGCGGTTGAAGCTCTTTTTTACAAGGTGATCGATCAGATGGAAAAGGAGCTCGTCGATACGGCTGATACATATCTGGAATATCCGGAGAAAGTCAAGGAACTGCCCATAGAGTTGCCGGCTGATTATGATGGCATGGATACGCTAAATCCGAATCCGAGTATACGGGATCAAGAGTATCTGCAACACAGCACGTTGTGGAGTCATCAACGTAACAATAATAATAACAATAATAATAATAATAATAATAATAAGAGCAACGACAGACACAGGATTCAACCGACTGGTCTAAAGGGAATCAAGGACGAGAAGGCGGAAAATCCTCTACCGGCTTATTGCACTCCTCCGAATCCCTGTCCAGTCGGATACACGAGTGAGTGAAAATGTATTTTTAATAACAATTAAACGAGGTCGAGACGAGCATTTTCCGATTATAAAGATTCTATAAATATGTCTCAGATTTAATTTAATTGAATGTTCTCTTCTGTCTCTCTTTTCTCATCTTCTCAACTTTAATAAGCCTCAATATTTAAATATATATATCAATATTTAAATATATATATTTAGCCTCAATATTTAAATATATATATTTAATAAAATATTCATATTTAATAAAAAAATTTTAATAATATTTCATAAAATTTCAATATTTAATAAAAAAAAATTTGAAAGTATCTCTACTTTCTTAAAAAGAAATATTTTTTCCTTTTCATTTTTGAAAATGATAATTTCGCATAAACAAGTATTCAAAATTTTTACTTACAGGCGAGAATAATTGTCTCACCAATTTCGAGAACGTCGCGACGTTTAGTCGCGACTTTCAGAACGCGCAGGATTGCATGTGTGACACGGAACACATGTTGGAATGCTCTGGTGATACCGGAAACAGCAATAGTCTGTCAAACGTGCAAATTTCAGATTCCGATTTCGATGAAATCGTCGAGCAATTCCAGGTAATCGATGCACGCTGTCATGTATATAAATATAATTTTTGCGAACGATCTAATCAATTGAAAAAATTATCCTTAAGAAAAAGAAAAGAAAGAAATGAACATTAAAATTTGTTTCTTTCAGGAAGAGAACCCATTCTTTCGAGGGGAGAAGCTACCGATAGCTGCGAAGAAAGGTATACACGTGATTGATTAATTAAAAATTGTAAACGCGTGATTGAGTTGAAAATGGAAACATGCTATAGACTTCATTATTAAAGTTAAGATGTATATTAATTGTAAGAGGAAATTGAAAATCTAAAATGGGACTTTTAATTCGACTAGCATAAATCAGACGCATAATAGTTGTAAATGATTCGCCTAATCAGTTAATAAACTATACAGATTTACGCAGCGTTAAAGTGTCGAACATTATGAAATGTACGTTTTTCAAGTCTGATGATATGCTCGAACAAAGTTCTTAAATGGACCACGATTGTTTATCAGCGGGTATTAAATATATTACATACATTTTCTTCTCATAGAGCTATTAATATGTATAGAGATTTTGTCAGATATATATAATTATATAAATGTGTGTATATATTTTAACATTATAAAATCTTCAATTCATGCGATCGTTCTGTTTAAGACAGCGATAATTTTTCATACATTGATATCCTTTCAACACGGGAATACATAAAAATGTTTTATAAGGCTTGCAAAGTTTAAAAAAATATGCTTTGCAATATTTGTAAAATATTTCTTGCACTTGATAGCGATTGAATGCTCCATTGAACTTTACATATCCAAATATTTACATTTAAATTTTACAAAAATTTTATCATATAAATGTCGATATGTATACATATAAAATAATCCTTATATAGTAAAAAACTGTCTATACATACTATTGTTCTGTTTGTCAATTATATATTATTTTGATATAATCTATCAATATATAATCTATATTTATTTTAATTATTGTGTGAAATCTCAGAAATATATATTTTAACAATAAATACAAGCAGCACTCAATCTTTCCTAATTATAATAATTAAAGTATGCAAGAGAAATATACAATCTATGTAGCTAATTAAGAATTTAAACTATTTTTGAATATAATATTTTGTCTAAATTATGTTACTCACACATAGAGAATACAGAATATATAAAACATTGTCACAATCATTTTATATCATTATAAAAAAGATGTACAAACATACAAAATACAAACTTATTTCCTTTCATCTCATACATTTTTAAATATATTTTAAATGTATTAATTATATTTATTATTATTTTTCACTTAAAACATATCTCTTTACCATTTGTTCAATTAACTTTATATATATTATTTTATATATATTTACAAGTTTATTTTATTTATATTTTATTTATTTCTTCCGTATGCAAACAGATTACATCTTTCTGTATTGCATTAATACTGGATACATTAAATTCAATGCATTTCTTAACTCGTCTATATTTTTTGCTCCTGTAAAATATCACAAATAATTTATACAAAAAAAAAATACTTATCTCTCTTATAAAATATCTCATTTTTGTTGCGCCTTTCTTCCTTTCTCTAATAAATATTCAAATTACCTGTTAAAACAACTTTCCCATTCACAAATATCAATAATACTACTTTGGATATAGGTGGGTTATCCCTGTTACCAGGGATATACACTCTGTATATCAGACCAGGATACAATTCTGGCTCATAGCTACATAATTGAGGATGTTCTCGATACAAATTCTCTAATTTAATTGGAAATTTTACGTCACACGTTGCTACAATGTTTTGTACTTTGAAAGAATCCGACATAAACTTTACCTGTAGAAATACAAAGAAGTATAATACATTAATTACTTAAAACTCAAAATTATTTCTACATAAGAAAGTTTTTTTTTTAATATAACTTACAGGGAATCCAAGCTTCTGAATTATTCTAGCAAATCTCTTTGCTGCCAAAAATGAATCATTCTCACTTTTCGCACCTGTACATACTAATTTCCCAGAGCTAAAGATTAATGCTGTCGCTCTAGGATTTCGTATCCTCATTATAAGTCCCGTAAACCTTGCTGGGTTATACTCAGAATTTCTTGTTCTTATGTTAATATAATTGAGTTTTAATTCTGTTCCCAAGTTAGCTGTGGAAACTACGTTTCTATAACAAATAATGTATCAATTTTACGGAATCATACAACACATAATTCATAGCAAAATGAGTATCGCAGTCTGTACGTAATGTAAACATATGATTCAAGACTCACTGTAGGCAAGGCTCCCAAACCTCCTTTGTACTGTTAGCCGGTATCGTTGGACTCATCATCGAATGCGGGTTGACGTTTTGCGATGTGCTCGGTCTCGGTACATTGGTCTATGAAGAAGACTGATGTTAGAAATTTCGTTCAGAAATTTCGCATGCATGATCAAATATATTTTGTAGCCTACCGATAACGGCGGAGCCATGGATCCATCTTCGCACGCATTTTTCGCCGGATTATTGAGCAATCTTTTTAATTCGTTGTCCTCGTGCGAGACTTGTGTCATTCTTCAAGAGACCGGCGTTAAATACCTTGATAATCGTGCTTGAATTGACGCAAGAAATGATCCGCTTAACCCGCTTAACCTCACGCTCTCGCACACTTCGATCAATTGCAATCGACTGTCACGTCAACCGACTTCGAGTTTTCGAATACAGAGAGAAGACTGAGAGGTGTCATGGCCTGCTTTTAGGTGATCCTTGAAAGCGATACTCCCTCTATGGACATTGAAAACGTGGACATGAACTACAAAGCCAATATCCATGAATGTTCTCAGATGGTAATATATAATGTGCACAATTTCTGGTTTTGTTCCATGCTATGTGCACGAAATGCCGGTAGCACTATGCAATGCTGTATAACAAGATATTTATGTATGTAAATTGATAGTAAATAAATTATTCAATCGCGAAAGATACTGTAATATTTAAAGATGAAATAAATATTTTTCTGTACTCATTGTCATATTTATATCTTTTTATTTACAAAACACAAAATGCCTGCTGTGGGAGAAAAACATTTTTAACCGCCATTTCTATAAATCTTCTTAAGTAGCAGTAAATTAATCTTTGATATTTATCAATCATTTTTTTTAATTATTTAAAAATTTAATTATTAATATATGTATAGAATTTGTCAAATTAATCACTGATTCTTCTGAAGTTTTTATAATTAAAACTCGAAAAATATAGACGTTGCAAAATATTTTAAGTCTTTTCCTTTATATAAAATATAAAAAATTCATATGTTCCACTTTAATATAGCTAACATTATTTTTATATATTTTTATTATAATTTTCATACCATCATAATATTTTTATGCATAATATTTTTCTGCTAAATACATATTACAAAATATATGACAAAATATAATACAAATTTAATATAAAATATAATTCGAAATTTAACAAAATAATTTATTACATGGAATAATTTATTAATTATAAATTATCTCTTAATCTCTTCTTTTTTAAATTAATATTTCAACATATTTTCGCAATAGATACAAAGCATCTATTAATTTAATTTAGTAATATAAGCATTAATTTATTTTAATAAAATAAACATCTATTAATTTAATTTAATAATATTTAATTAATTTAATTAAATTATTTAATTTAATTTATTTAATTTAATCCATCCTAGCTCATCCATTTTAAGGCAACGGATTTATCTACAATCTACAATCTACATCTACATCTGCAATCTCTACGAATCCGTTACCTTAAAGTTAAATAAAAGTTTTTTTAACTCACCACTGCACTGATGCGCAACAGCGAAGTTGTTGTTATCGAAGCTAGTTGTCTGTAACATACAAATATAAAATTCATTTATAATAATGCTCACAAAATGCAATTAATATTTAAAACAATTTTTATCGTGCGGAATTTTATATCCGATGTGTAAAATAATAAGGAGATAAACACGTATGGAAAAATTTTATAAATTTTTGAAACTGGTTTTTTAATTAGAAAATTTTATATGACTTTTATAAAAATCTTTCTCTTTAATTCATTTAAATAATAAGATCGAATTATTGTTTGTTCATAACAAGTTAACGATTTATAACAATTAATATATAAATAATAATATTCACCATCAGGTTGTTCCGCCGGTGTAGGATGCCTCTCCTAGGCCTGCTCCTCCTCTCAGATCATCAGGGTTGTTGCATCGATCTATAACATACAAAAGAAGATTCTAATGTAGCAGCGTTCAAAATAATTAATATTTCAAAAATTATTATATACATTGAATTTTATATTCGATGCATATAATAATAGCAGATTAATAAAATAATTCTATAAATTTTAAAAAACATTAGATACTAATAATTCTCTTATAACTTTATAAAAGCTTATACCTCTACAAGATTATAGCTTTAATTTAAAAATTTTTTTCTTTAATTCTCTCTTATTTAAATATAAATAAATATAAATAAATATAAATATAAATAAATATAAATAAATAAAAAATATAAATAAAAAACATCAAATTAATTGTTGCGATTAATTGTTTAATTTAAATTATAATAAATATATTTAATATTTAATATATAATAGAAATACAAATTACAAATAAATAAATTGCTTACCCGAGGGTTTGCCGGAGCCTGATGCCTCTCCTAGGCTTCCTCCTCCTCTCAATCTTAGACGCGCGATACTTAACGGCACTCCCGCACTCACGAGCGATATTTTTATATCGCTATTTTCGCTATTTTACGCGCGATACCAAAAAACGGTTCTCGCACTATTTCGGTACGATTAAAAAATTTATATTTGATCGCGCGGTGTATATACTTAATATGTATATACTTTGATGGCACTCCCGGTTTAGGAGCGAAAATCCTATTTCACTTACGAGCATCAGCTTTGAGTCAACAGTTAACACACGCAGTGCGTGTGGCTGTAGACGAGCAAAGAGAAGGAACCCATTAACGACCATTCCGAACAATCAATCGAATTCTAAACGATTCGGGTCGAATCGATTGACGAAGCAGAGCGTGTCCATCACTAAGCTGATCGAGCACGAAGACTCGAACCCGCGCGCCCATGTACATTTCGTACTGGACATACGTTCTGCTGGCATCACTAAGTGCCGTGTTATGCTAAGTGCCGAAATATTTTATAGATAAAGGTTGATATTAGGGGACCTCCGACGAGCTTTACCTTGATATATGTTATCAAGGTCACTGTCCTAAGTAACATGTAAAAGATTTTGAACAATAATTTTACGTTATTTTACGAACAATAATTTTACGATATACACGTGGAATTTTAAATTATAGAAGTATATTTTATTTTATTAATTATACAGGTATATTTTATTTTAAATTAATTATTAAACAATTGATGTTGAATGTGAACGATGTATCACCTTTCATTATGCTAATTATTTGAATTTATTCAATTGTTTTACGCTTTTTGTATTCTATAATATTTAGTTTTAAAAGACTGACTTATAGCGAGCTAAATAAATAAATAAATAAATGAGAAGAAAAAAAGGCACATAAATAAATAAATAAATAAAAGCGTGGAAAGAGAGAACATACTAATATTTTTATATAATAAATGATTATTAATCTAAATTAAATTAATGTAAATTATTCATATTTTTATTTTATTTTTATTATTTTATTTTTATTTTTATTATTTATATTATTAGAGACAAGACATATATGTTATTTTCTGAGAACATTCATGGACATTGGCTTTCGTAGTTCCATATTTTTATTTTTGTCCATATTTTTAATATCCACAGAGGAAATATCGCTTTCAGAGATCACTTAAAAACGGATTATGATACCTCTCAATCTTCTCTCTACTGTACGTGGCGGCAATATACAGAGTTCCGGAAAATCACTCGCAGTAATTTAGGAAATGATTCGAGATTCAAAAAGAAGAAAAAAAAGCTATATAAACATAGGTCCGGAAATTTTAATTTAAAAAAAATTTTAAAGAGAGGGATCCAAGCGGACTATAAATTACAATTTTTTCAAATATAAAAGTGGCTATAATTCGGGAACGACTTATTTCAACATGCATTATTGTATATTATTAATCATAATTTGCGAGGGGAAAATGCATCATATCTCACTAGCCAGATTCGATGAGGTAGTGTTGAGTAATTGAAAAACCCTTCAGACGACATGCTTGGATGCTAAATGTCCGGGACTTAGGAATTGTTTGCACAATTATATAGGGCCCGAAATAGGATTTATTTAATTAAATGTGACCTTAAAATTTAATATAACTTTAAAGCCTTAAATCGTTGTTAATTTTTATATGTATACATACATATATGCATTAAAATGTATATATTTATACTAATTTATATACGTATGATTAATTATGATATTTCGATATATAAAAATAATACTAATTATTTAAAATTTAAATCTCTTTTAAACGATATCATTAACATATGCATCACATTTTAACTTTTATTTGAATACTTTATAGATTCTTTCAAGATCATTATTTATATTTGCACAGCTGCTACTTTTAAAATTTAGTAAATAAAACGTATCTCAGAAAGTGTCACTTGACGTTAAAACTTTATTTAATCAATGTAGAAGCCACATTTTTGATAAATACCGAAGAAAATAAAATTATTTTTTCTTTTTATTTTTATAAAAATATATTATTTTATTTCACAGGTCTTATCTCACTTTATTAATTCAAGTATATATAACTGTAAAGTCTAGTTTTATTTTTCTTACATTTAATTTGTTACATTTTATTATTTTTTTATATTATTATTTTTTATATTACTTTTAAAGAGCATATGTTATGTAATTAAAACGAAAAATAAAATTTATATTGATATTTAAACATTTTATTTTTATTTTTCATCGCAATAAGTTATTACTATAAGCTTGCTTTATTTCTACAATATTTTGATAAAACATAATACTTTTAATACACACATTGTGCAACTAAAACACATCAGGAGAAAACAATATTTGTGAATTAGAAAAATATGTGAGAAGTATAACGAATAAAAGAAAGAAACATATTTTAAACGAATTTTAAATGTTTTTAAACATTTTTGTTATCAAAAAAGAAACGTATCTCTTAACGTTTTTTCACATTTTAACCAATTAGAAACGTTTTCAAGAGTCGATTATGAAACTTTTGGAAGAAACATTTGTGAACATTTATGAAACGTTTTTGAAATGAATATGCGCTACCTAGGAATTGGCCAGAAATATGTATATTAATACTTAGTCACACACACATTGTGTAACTAAAACATATCAGAAAATTAGTGGATAAGAGTACGTCAATAGCGTTAATTATAGCGATATTGTCATTAAAGTTGCAAAGTAGAAGTACTGGTCACATTTTTGTATGGTAAAAATAATTGTTTCCTGATAACTTATGGTTTATATAAGAAAATAAATATTCCAGAATAATAATAAAGAGATATATTTTATATATTTAATCATCACATTATATACGTTTTAATTATCACATTATCTTATGTTTTATTATCTTCATTTAACTCATATGTAATTAAGTTTAGAATCTTCGATTTTTGCCGATAATTATTTATTTAATTTTCATCAAAAAGAATATAAAAGTTTATTTACCGTAAGAAATGCAATCAGTACTATTCTGTAATTTTTAATGATAAAATATTATTATAAAATGTTATTATATTATATTGCGTCGTTGCGTACTTATTTTCCGATATGTTTTAGTTGTGCAATGATACATAACGATAACGACATTGTCGTCACGAAAAATAGGTTTACAATTGTTTGTCGAGGTCAAGCAGATATAAGTCTAATATAAAAACAGAGTAGAAACCGTTCTCTCTTCTTGTTGTATTTTCAACCTGGTTTGCGTTAATTATCAAACATGTTACTATTAGCGGTTTTTTATTCAATGGTATTCTCATGGAGTAAGTAAAATTGTGTCATGCAACTGAACGAAATAGTATGCTCTCGTTTCTTTTTTTTCAATCCTTCAAACATTTTTTTCATCCGTCTTATATTTTTCTCAGCTATCGAAAAATTGATACATATGTACTATTTTAGATATAATTTATTATATATTTATATTACATATACTATATTACATATATGTTACATATTTATTGTTTTAAGATATAGTTATTATATATCTCGATTACAGGAATCGCTGTCACGGAAATGCATTCACTATCTTCTTATTTAATGTTACCTGACTGGATAAAGGGTAACCTTTTTACCTGCAAAATAATTAATACCAAAGAGGGAATCGTTCTTAGCTGCTGCATAAATGGCTTCACTAATTCAAAGGACTTCACACCAAAGTCGAATGATTCTTGCCAATATAATATTGAAGAACAATCTGCTGTGCAAGACATGTTAATACGGTCAAACTACATTAGCTCTTGGGAAAACGACACCGATGTGCTCATCGTAAGTTGATATAATATATAAAATAATTCAATACTTTAGTCCAATAATTTCTTTTTCACTTTGTTTCTTCTATATCAATTTTTTTATCTATTTTCTTCGTTTTAGATTGAATCAACCAATCGAACTAATCGACTTCAATCTCCTATTAATTTAACCGATTCTCAGCCAACTCCCGGTATGTTAGATACTTTATATAGACGAAGTCAAAGAAGCACGAGCGAATCACTCGTACCGACAATTCTTCTGAAAATGAATGAAAAAATGAATCAGACTGTCTTCTCGCTGTCTAAATGCCAGCGGTATCATGATATACCTTTGACTAACAATAAGAGCTACTTGTGCACATTTAATCATGAGATCGACGTTTGCTGGATGAGTATCTAGAAATCATTCATCGTTAAATAATCTATCCTAGTCTAATAAATAAGTGATCCGCTAGTTTATGCAATAAAACTGCTAAAAAGGCTCGAAACAAAATTACATAAAATATTATCAAAAACGTTTCTCTGTATTCCTTAGGATGATAGTGGTAATCCTCTGATTGCTGATGGTAAGCAAATCGATATTATTTTCTCACTTCTCCCTTGCATTACTGGTGGGTAGACATCAATATCTACGATTATCGTTGTTTCATTCTATTAGCCATAGGCAAACACAACTTGACATAATATAAAACATAAATTTATCACGTTTATGCATCGAAAGAATATGCTATTACGATATTGAGAGCACACACAATTGCAGCAGTTGCACTCTGAAAATCAAAAAAAATTCTTATGTATTTATCGTTAACAAATAAATGCTATGATTATACTTAATAAATTAAATATAATAAATTAATATAATAAATTATAAATGTTTACTCACCTTTACTTTCCCTCTCCTCTCCCTCCCCCTTTTCCTATACCTACTTTTCCTTTTGTCAGTTATTGTTCAGTCTTTTCATGTTCGCAATCGTTCACCTTTAGGCATGATTTTATCTCGATTCTTTGTTTTCCATCTTCGTAAGTATCAAACTTACACTCACAATTAGACTCTCGATTTAGCTCTATATTATCCCATGGCATTTATATAATACTATGTACTTTATACTCTTTTATAATTAACGTTTTTCATTTTTGTTAACGGATTTTTAGGATTTGGTATTACTCGTTATTTATTACTTTTATGTTTGGCTTGAGTTTCTTTGTTCTTGATATGTATTGCGCTCCTTTTTACACAGACTTCCACCTCGTTCATCGATTAAAGGAGTCAATTTGTTTCTGCCCGCTCTCTTGAAAATCTGCAATTCAGAGAGATTCGCAAAAAATTACAAGTTTTACCAGGTTCAATTTTAATTCTACGACCTAATGACTACCCATACAGCACAGAAGCTTGCATCAACATTGCTGCAATGTTACAACATTGCACATAGCAGTGTTGCAGAAATAATGCAGAGACATTATTTTATAATATTACTTTGGCAATGTTGCAGCAACGTTTCAACATAGCGAAAATGTATAACGTGTTTTTTTACTTGTCGCCTTGACGCAGCGACACCCAATTTAATTAACTCGTATTCGAATTCATCTAACAAAGATAAGATGGATATAAAGTCTACAAAGAATTAATGTAGTAATTATATTTCTTGTCTTGTGTCAGTTTAATTTTTGATATACTGACTTGGTTTACTTAATATTCTGAATCCTAATGAGAGATCTAGATTATTAAACAAATAATTTATTTAATAATCTGGATCTTTTATTGGGTTTCAGAATATTAAGCAGATTTTTCTTAATTGAATGGGTAAATAGGAAATAATTCATTTATTGCACGTATTAAAATATTCTGATGTCGAATGTATGTAAAATAATTGTATGTATATTATTGAGATAAATATTTAATAAGATATATTTGATAAAAAACGCTAATAGATATTTTTTTTCAAAGGCGGTAAATGTTTTTTTTTTCTATCTTTCTTAAACATTTCATATTTTCAAGATTTATTTTCATTTCATATTTTCAAGATTTATTTATTAAATTTAAAACGATCTGCTTTTGTAGCAAAACGCGTTTTAATATTGCAAATACGTGCACCGTAACATTACTACAATCTTACATTGTAATATTTCTGAGGGCGGACATTTCAACGTTGCTGCAAGCTTGTAGTAATGTTGCAGAAACATTTCGCAACTTCCATGCAATGTTACAATGTTTCCGTGATAGGTCTATGCAACGTTTCTGCAATCTTTCAGTGCTGTATGGGTAATTTACAAATGTGAAAACTTTTTTCATCGGTGAATAACCACGCACTACATTTCTGTTTAAATTTTCACATATGCGTTAATTGCGTCTTTTTTTCTGATGAAGAAGTAAAGAAAAAAAATATGTAATTTGCAATTAACAATTACTTTTTTTTCGAAACAATTATGTTTTCTTGACACCAATTGATTCCTCTCATTATTTTGTACATAAAAGTATTAAGGTAAGATAATCGAAAAATGAATATTTTACTAGATATTTTATGATTTAAATGTAAATTTAATGTGAAAATTAAGAAATTATTTCAAGTCTCATAACTCGAAAAGTACTCGATGAAAAAATATTTTATTATAGTGTTTTGAAAAGTTCTCGAGGTAAGCTACAAGAGCTTCTTTTTGGCAACAGATAGCCCTGACACCCTGTATATACAATTTGATAAATTAGCATATTAGTATAATATTATATAAAATAATTGTTATATATATGTATATATTAGCATATTAGTACAATAAGCTGCAGCAAATATTTTACGCGTAAATATAATGCAAATTATTTGAGAATTTTTTTAAATATATGTATAAATCTCAACACATCTCAATTTGAGCAACTCTTATTAATTAACTTATTACTTATTTACTTAATTAATTATTATTAAATTATTTTTATATAGTAGTAAAAAGACCTAATCACGACCTAATCATGGATAATATTAATTTTGCAAGTATAATAATAAATAATGTACTGAAATACTGTAGTATATATAAATATGTAAGTTTCTTATAAAAAATAAATTCTGGGAAAAATAAATAAATAAAATTAATTTATTTATCTATTTTTGATATCGTTTTATTCTTTTTAGATAATACAAAAAGATTCTTCAATTTTTTATTTCAGGTAATCTGTTATCTTCTCGTTCAAAAAAGTATTATTTACAAATTATTTCTTTTAAAAAGGAGAGATATTTTCATTTGTTCTTTGCCACAACAGTTATTTTTAAACTATATATTATTTCCATAGAAAAAGGAAAGATTAATAATATTATAATATTTAAACTTTACTTCAAATTTCCTCTAAGTTTGTATTTGTTTCCTTTTCTGCAATTTATTCTTTATAAGATATTCATCTAATTAATTAAACATTATTCTAGCATTATTGTTCCTCATTAATACTTTGCTGATCTAAATATATTATTTTATATATATATATATATATATATATATATATATATCTTATGTGTAAATGAATAATTAATTTTGAAATAAGAGAGAAACACGTTTTCTATACATTTAATATAATCACCATTATTATTTCATTATTAGTTCATTAATCATCATTATTGTACGTTTTTATCACATTATTATCTTGTTTTATCAGTCAATTTATCATTATTGTATGTTTTTGTCACATTATTATCTTGTTTTATCAGTCTTTCTCATTACCTCATATGTCAGGTAATTAAGTCTGTGATCTTTGATTTTCTCATCACCTGTCTCATCAAAGTGTACAATACAAGTGTCACTGCATTTATCGTAAAAATCCGACCATCTGTTCGTCGAGGTCACATGCAGATATAAATCCAATATAAAAAGGGAATAGAAATTATTGTCTTCACTTCTGGTTTTATTTTCGATCCGGCTCGTATTAATCATCAAGCATGCTACCATTAGCGCTTTTTTTGTTCATCGGTGTTCTTGCGGAACGTAAGTAAAACTGAATCGTGTAGAAATACTATTTTCGTTATTGTTTCTTTCAAGAAATATTTTTTTTTCATTCGTTTTACTACTCTTTCATTCATTATATGCTCTGAAATCATACATCTATCATTTTATAGGAGTTATATATAATCATTATTATATATCTCGATTTACAGAGACGTTCGCCGATGAACCTGAAGCAATTGTGGGTGGTACACCTGCCGGATTAGGCGAATTCCCACATCAAGTTTCCTTGCAATCTTCTCCTTATTATTCTTCTCATTTCTGTGGCGGCTCCATCATCGCTCCCAACAAGGTTTTGACCGCTGCTCATTGCGTGGAATCCGGAAGCACTTTTTATGTTCGCACCGGATCTGTTGATCATGCTAAAGGAGAACTCCACTATGTGAAACAAGTTTATATCCATCCGAATTATAGCGGCAAACAGAAAGATGCGTGGCGATGTGACGCCGCAGTAGTCGTCGTAAGTCGATATATTACAGAATATATTTTGATTCAATAGTTCCTTCTTCATTTTTAATCATGCATTTGTCTGTTTTATCATTTCAGCTTACAAAGGCAATTCAATACAATTCATATCAACGTCCCATCCCTTTGGCCGATTCCCCGCCCGCCACTGGGACAGTATGTACTTTGTCCGGATGGGGTAAGACAAGCACAAATGGAGCAGTCTCGCCAAATCTTCTGAAGATGCAACAGGCCGTGATCTCACAGGCGCAATGCCAGCAGAGACATTGGGGTATGCCTTTGGATTCCAGCCACTTGTGTACCCTCAACCGTCAAGGAATTGGTGCTTGCCAGGTGAGTATTCAGTACCCATCATTAAATGGGATTAATGTCCTATAATCTAATAAATGATTAATCCGTTAGTTTATACATTTTTATGATTACTGTGTGAAAACTTCTACAAAATAAAATTATACAAAAAATTAATGGAAATGTTTCTCTACAATTTTTTAGGGTGACAGTGGCGGTCCTCTTATTTGTAACGGCAAACAATATGGTATTACTTCTTGGGTTGTTCCTTGTGCTGTTGGTGAACCAGATTGCTACGCCAATGTCGGCGCACCAATTGTACGCAGTTTCATTCAATCAATACCATAGATCAATACCAGATATACATCTTGACATAGAAAACATAAACTTATTTGATTAATCATTAAGTTCATGTCCATGCACCGAAAGAATATGCTATTGCGATGTCGAAGTGCACGCAATTGCATTATTTGCACCCTGTAAATCAAAAAGATACTTATATATTTTAAACATTAAATAAATAAATATTAATAAATTTAATAGATTAATATTTTTTTGATAAATGTAAAAAATATTTCCCATTTTATATTCCCACAAAAATTTTTATTGACAAGAACTTTATTATAATTTTTTAATAAGAATTAGGATTTATGTGTGCACGTACAAAATAAAATTTAAGTTGATAAAAAAATTTTTTTAATAATTGCTCAATTATTCAGCACAATAACTAATCAAATTCATTTTCTTACATCCCAAAATTTATATATAAAAATAAATAGAAGAGTATATAGAGATATAGAAATATACAGATATAGATATACCAATCACACATGTGTATTCTTATTAAAAAGAATGAATAATGATAAAAAGAATAAGAAATAAAAAATTAAATTAAAGAATTAGATTAAATTTGTTTTTTTTATTGAAAACGATCCATTTCTCGCTTATCAGTCATCGATTTCATTGACTATTTCAGCATTATTGTATATTAAAAATTTGTTAAATACAATATTTTACATTTAATATATGTTACATTTAATATTTTGATATTTTGTCAAATTAACAATAAGTTCTGCAATAATACTAAAGACACATATTTCGTATATATCTCTTTAATTAACATCATTATCAATATTAATATTTAATTATTATTATTATTATTAATGTTTAACATTATTATTATAACATATATATGTATAGACACACATACATAGTATTAACGTATGTCTTATCATTCTTTCTCATTTAACTCATATACCATGTAATTAAGACAGCAATTTTTGATTATCTCATATCTTACATCACATCAAAATACAAAATACGTCATTGCATTTATTTATTATAAGAAAATGAGCACTTGTTCAAATACAGATGTGAATTTAATATAAAAATATAATATAAAAATAAAGTATAAATTATCATCCCTTTATTCTCGATTTTATTTTCAACCTTCGACTCACTTTAATAATTAATTATTAATAATTATAATTATTTAAATGGTAATTATTTTACATACAATGGTAATTATTTTACTCAACGCCAGAATATTTTAGTACGTGCAATAAATGAACTATTCAATAATTAACTATTAATAATTAGAAGATATTACACTTGTATGATTTTAAATTTTGCACATATACGCACACATAAATAACAAATCTCGAGAGTTCGAAGTTTACGTATACGTGTAAAAAAGTGTAAATTTAGAATGACACAAGTGTAATATTTCATTTATAATTAGTATTTTTATTCATTCCCTCCAGAAAAGATGGGATGTATGTAGGAGGAGATCAGACGTGTCTATACGCTCATTTGGTCAACGAGCGACAGAATCCATTCATGGCAACGACATCGACGCATATCCTGTGAAGAGAGCATTCACACATTTTTCAGCCCAACGAATAATTGCTAGAAAACAATATTCGTGGACTAGAAAAATATGTGAGGAATTTAACGAATAAAAGAAAGAAACGTTTTTTTTTATCAGGAAAGAAACGTATTTCTTATTACGTTTTTCAAGTGGACATTTCAACCAATTAGAAACGTTTTCAAGAGTCGATTATGAAACATTTCGAAGAAACTAGTGCAATAAGTTAGAAAGAGACAAACATATTTTCTTTCACTCTAACTAGTTGCACTGGTGCAGCAGTGCAGCTGAAAAGAGCAGACCCCTTGAGTCCAGCTGTTATAATTGTCAAATCAGCTGATTGGTTATTTCATATAGGGATTTATGCAATTTCTGCAAATTTTGTGCGGGATTTTCAAAATTCGAAGAATTGAATTCGAGAATTTTAGGAAAAAAAATTTCTTTCGATTTATTTTTCAGAATTTATATCTTTATATGAATATTGTTATTAGAGGACACTTAGATAAAATTTTCTTGTATTTCTGTAAGATCTCACTAAAAAAGAAATTAAAATTTCCAAGTAATTTACAAGTATGTAAATTTGTTTTAAAAAAATTATATTTTACAAAATAAATTCTCTTAATTATATTGTCAAGTCTTTCATTGTTCCATTTATAAATGTAATTTTACAATACGGAGAATTTATTTCAAATATAATGCGTGTTGAAAAGACAATAGAGTATTATCGATCAAATATCAAGTGTTGCAACGCATAGTCAGGTTACAAAAAGTGTTAAAAATATATCTCATAAAATAATAATTTATACTTTTTTTCGATAAATATGCGATTTTACCTTTAAAGAAACCTAAGAAACTATAATAATTATATTTCGTTTTGTGAATATTATCTTATAAATATTTCTATTTTGTAGATAACGAACATGTCTAAAAAAGTGGAACGACAAATTGAAAATATTCCATTCAGAAATCATTCGGAATCGAAAGAAAAGCTTGATCAATTCGATATACCTTACAGTAGGGAACTGCAATCCCCAATACTTGGTTATCATTATCAACTTCCTGATTTGCCAACGAATTATGTACCATCCACAATCTTGGACACGTCTCTATTACACGTAAGATTCACCGATATATTTGCAGAGATTGACCAAATTTTTTTTTTATCTCAATCTGGCATCTTTACTAACAAAAGATATATTATTATAAGATTATTATTTGTAGATATATACATTATTATAAGATATATTATTGTAAAATATATTATTTGTAGATATATTATTATAAGATATATTATTTGCAGATCCCCGTTTACGCTCATTTGAAAGTATACGATTTGAAGCCTGTGCAACTACCGGAGATCCCAAGCATTTTATCGGCATTACATTTGCAGTTCTCGTAAGTGTATCCCGTGCTCTTTGTTTCCAAAATCACGAGATGTGACATAGTTAGATGGATTTGATTTTTAGAGAGGATACTGCATTGAGTAAATCCTCGAGAGAAATATCATCGACCGCACGAATAAGCGAGGAAGGCAGAGTTTCCGCTTCTCGCAGCATCCGCGATAGTACAAAAAGTCCGCGTAAAAAGTGACGAGACGCAAAATCATGTGGACATCTCGTTTCAATAATGACGATAAATGTAGATTAAAATATCAAAAAATATATTAAATCAATTTTATTTCTGTAAGGTCTCTTTTTCGCTCCGATTTTTCTTCCTCCTACAAATGTCTGTTTTCATTACATCTGTCACCGTTTCTTTTCCATCTTCCTATCATCTTTTTTCTAGGACTAATTTTCAATGTTTATTCTAAATCCCAAGATTACCCTTGTTGTCAGATTTAATTGCTGTGACATAATTTTGCGATAATTTATTTGAACTTTGCGTTTCGGGTTTTAAAAAAAGTGAATTTTTGTCTCTTTACATCTATTGGTTACTCGATCGAGACCGAAAACATGGAGACCGTCAAAGGATGTAAAGAGACAGCTGTTTGCTACGTTAGGTTATATTCAATGGAGTGATTTTTTTTAGCACAAATATCGGTTCATCGCTATCGGTTCGGACGAGAAGACGAGTATCGATAATAACAATATGCGACAATGAAGAGGTTCAACGAATTTCTCGCGACTTGCGTCGTATTGCAATATTTTTGCCATGTATGCACTACACATTTGCTCATAAACGTCAAAAATCAGGTACGACACAATATATATAATCGCGCATTTCTATCAATAATAAAATAGCTTTGCTTTTCACGTGCACATTTTTATAGAAACATATCTCGTCTCTTTTCAGATAAATTAATTTTTGTTAGATTAATCTTTAAGACACTTTGACATAAGCATGGGATATTTTTTTTCTACAACAGATTCATTTAGGTTTTAAAGGAATAATTTTATAATTAATGTTAAATGAACTATCACTTTACTTACAGGGTGGTGATATTCTTCTAGAAACAATATCGTCTAATGTTACGGAAGATTTAATCACTTTAGAATTCCAACGTTCTGATGGCACGTTAGTCACACAACTCATCGATTTCAAAAATGTAAGTGTTTCTGAAACATGAATTAAATTTTTTGATAAATAATTTGTAAAAGCTACATTGTTTTTTATTGCTCACATAAATTGTAGGAAGTTCAAGTTATAAAAGCTTTGGTGCTTGGTGAGGAGGAACGTGGACAAAATCAATATCAAGTCATGTGTTTTGTGAATCATTTTTATAAAGTAGATTTTATATCATCTGATGCAATGTCCAAACTACGTCAGAAAAATCCAGGCACTGTACGTGTAGCGGAAGAAGACAGAGGTCATGTCAATTATACAATGGACTTGTTTCTGGATGTATCTCAATCTAAAGAGATCTCGAAGCATGTCGCTACACTTTGTACAGAAGCAGCTGGATCAACTTATACCAGAAATGATGACATAAAACAGTGGATTCAAAGACCAGGTAATAATCTGTCAAATTAATATAATAATTTCAATCTTATATTTGTGTATATATACATATATACATATAAACTATATGATAAAAAAAATTAACTGTAAAGCTAACATATAATTTGCATGCTATTGCAAAGGTTTTTCGGAAGAATTACTCATGGCAGCTGTATATAATTTTACAACTGTGCCGCAATCAGGCACAAATGACACAAGATCATTATTAGTCTCCAAATGTGCCGACACATCAAATCTGTGGGCACCTTGTACATGCTCTTTGGAGTTATGTATCGGATGGTATCCATGTGGTTTAAAATTTTGCAAAGGAAAATCTGATGGCAAGAAGATTGCCAGCACTTACCGATGCGGTATAAAAACTTGTAAGAAATGTTTTATATTTTCTTATTATTCTAAAATGAAACAAAATTGTCTATGGGACGAATGACATATAAGGACATTGTAGATTAATTTTTAATATAAATTGAATATTAATGCATACAGTATAAAAGAAAAAAACTGAAAAGAAGAATGAGGGAATTATGTTAGAAACAAATAAAACACAAAAAGTTTATAAGAATGATATAGTAGTAGGTAATTAATATATCAAATAATTCTCGAAGAAGAACAAACTATAAAACTTTTAATATTTCTTTTATTAATTTGACAATTATATATATTAATAATTTTTTATATTTTTTTCGCTGATAAATACAAAATTAGCTTCGCTTTTTAAAAATTTTCTTTTTTGTATTGGATAATTTGAATATAAAAAATTATTGCTATATATATTTTTTATTCTTTTATATAATTATTCTTTTATATAATCATTAAAATCAAAGTAAATCAAACAAAAATATTTTTGCATTATTATATATTAGATTTATATACTGGATCAATGAGAAAAATGTATAGCAGTAAATGGAATCCATATTCTAAAAGGGTTTATGTTAAACAGACATAATTTTTATTTAATTTGAGTCAAAAAGAAAATGATTAAATATTTAAAATTTTTATTCTATCTTTCGTCTGATAGAAATTTTATATTGATACATAATTTATATCATTATAAAAAGAAATATTTTATATAAGAATGGATATTTGTAACATTTTTCCATATCCATAAGAGTGAATATATGTAATTTTTTTACCTAAATCGAAATTTTAATGTTCAATACATTCCAACATTTGTAATAAAATATTTTAACATATTCCTAATTCTACTTTTGTAGAATTAATTTTTCCTCCATAAAAAATTTGAAATATTCACAGATAGAGATATATATATAGAGTGTTGTGATCAACAATTCCAAAAGATTTCTACAAATGTGTTTTTACACACACTTTCTCAATAAATTTAAAATACATTCCCGATTATTACTTACGCCTGCGACAAAAGTAAAGCCATTCCAGTAATAATACCCAGTAATTTTCATTTACATATCTAGAATATTCCTTGTACTGATTATATGTTACAAATGATCCATTCAAAAATTTAGAAATATTCCGTTTTATTTCCTGAAACAAATATCAGGATAATTTTGTATCTAGAGTTTTATAAGAGCATGATTTGTAAAGCTGCCATTTATACATTGTACATGTGTACATTATAAGTTTTAATTGTACATATTATGCAGGCACATATGCAGAGACATACAAATAATGATAAATATATATGACAATGATCTAAGCATGTGTATATAAATTCTTATGTTAATAGTTGAAATATTGTACATACAGTCTATATAAGATTTGCAGCATTGTACGTATGTGTATATGTAAGACTTTATAAGAATATTATTAATTATACTTTAATATTAATTGATATTTTGAATATCAACGATCTGTAACGAATGTTTTTGCATGTTTGAATGAGAGACTATTACTTAGTGGATCATTGTGAATAAGACTGCAAAATCTGTCCATTTAACATTTAATGGTTAAACCATTATGCTCTCTGAAAAATCTATACACTGTATACATTGCATTTATAGTAAGAAAGAAATTGTTTGAATACGGGAGAATACATACGTATACTTACGCTTGTAATCCAACGTTTGCGAAACACTTGCATTAAATATCTAGCGATATTTGGTATAATTTAGTCACGCAACAATTATTACGACGCGAAAGTAAAAGACGCAATAATGCAATAAATCGAGGCATTTATGACTCATTATATTGATAACAGAGCTGACAATTAAGCAAATGGTATTCTAATTAGATTTGTTATTAACGAATTGGAAAAGTCATTAAGTGAAAAAGTAATGTTTAAAATGCTAATTATTTACGTAATTATTTAAAATAAAGAAGGAATTTTTAACTGATTACTAACTGATAATTTTTAACTTCAAATGAGTAAATCTTTGTTAATAAAATATCCATTTTTCATTCCATTGTGCTCGATTGTTAAAATATCGATTCTATTCTGGGCAATTGATAAATTGTATTGGATAACGTTGACATCACTTATACATATAGGAATACTGCAACAATAAAATAATGTAAATGTCGCACAACTCTGTTAAATAGTTACGTGTAAATCAATGGGGATTAATACACAAAAGGTATAAATAAAGAGCAGAATAAATTTGTGAATATCTAGAACAATATTACTATTTGTACAGAAATATGTATATAGATTCAGCAGGGGCAGATATTGATTTTAATTAATAACTTTATATGCATAATAAATGATAGAGAAGGAACGATATGTGCAATAAGAGAGAATTTCTATAAATGAAAGATTATATAAAATATTTATAATCATTTATTTAATATTTAATATTGTTTTCTTTGATGTGCCTGTAATTTAATTAATATAAATATATTTATTTGTGTGATAAAAAAATTTTATACACCCTAATTATGTGAGATTTTCTCAAATATCAGAAGCACAATTACATACATATGTACACATGGAAAATAAGAAATATTTCAATCTGTATCAACCCCCTTTGATGTTATGGGTATTACTACACTATGTATGATTTCAGCTTTACACATAATGTTGTATCTTATACACATATTTTTTATATATATTTAATAAAAAGAATTAATATACATACACATAAATGTGTTTTAATAATGTGTAATTTTGAAATAATATAATGCTGAAGATTATTTTTAGTACATGCTTAATTAAGTTGTATTTACTTGTACAATATATTATTATTTTGCATATACAAAAAATATCAAAGTTTTTTAAAAAGTTCAAAATTCTATAAATTTATCGTGTGTCAAATTTCTTGATGGAAATTTTCTCGTTTCATTAACAGATATGTGGATATATGAGGAGCACATAATACTTTGTAATGTAATATATGTATATGTATGCGTGTCATACATATGCTACGTCTATCATATGTGCGCTACAATAAAGTAAACAATATGTAACAATGATAAATTCGATAATAACATGTCATATCTTTTGTAGAGGGATATTCTCTTTTGTAGAAGAATATATGCAGATATATGTTTGTTCATAATTGGTTCTATTAAGTACGATACATTAATAATAATCTTAATTATTAATAGCAAAATAATAATAGTAATAATAATTTAGTTTAACCCAGAATTCTTTATACATTTCTATACACATCAAAGATGTTTTGCATCATTTGCATTTTTACTAAAACTTAATGTGCAATTTGCACAGTAAAAGTATCACTTTGATGAGCAAGAAAACAATTTATTTATACAATAAGAACGTATACATTTCAGTATTATATTAAAAATATCTCTATCATTACATTAAAAATAGATGTTTTTGGGCGATAAACAATTTTCAGATAAATGATTCTAATAAAAATAAATGCTATTATCTCAGAGTAAAAATATATCCTTGTTGACGCAAAACATTTCCTGATATGTAAAAGTTTTCTAATTTAATAATATAAATTTAAAATATCTCGCTATTGCTATTATGTTTGCTACTATGTTACCTTTGATAATGAAGAACTATGCAAGTGACAGCTACAGAAGTGTACAATCCTCTCTGCATTTTTATGCAATATTAGATCAATCATATCATCAGTAGCTTATTATTACGTTTTATATGAGATCTTCTAAATTGTTTATGTTCATATAAAAATGTAGATAATTATTTCAACAATTTTGTAAATTTTTATTCAATAAAATCTTGTAAAATTTTCATAAAATAAAATAGATTATTAGTATTATAACATTTCATATTACAGTTTTAGAATTTGTTTTACAATCTCATTTACCTCAGCACAACGGATGATAATTATGTTATTAATTCAATGTGAATGTAATTTCAATTAAATTGAAATCCACAAGAGATCATGTTTATACGCACAGATATGCAAAGATAAATAAAATTTCACAAGATAAAAACTGCAAAATTACATGTTGCCAGTATCAGAATCAAATGAATCGAATTGCAAATCAATATCTTTCATTCTTAAAGATTCAGAATTAAAATATTACTTTTAAACTTGACGAGAAGAGAACGTACCTTCTATCGCGAGATAGATATGCTTTGATATATTTCGGGTAGCACCAAGCACAATGACGTAAAACGTGTATAAGCGTTTGTTATTCTCTCCAATCACAATCTGAAAGACTGTTCTCACGTCAAATACATACGTCAACCCATCAAACCCAAAAACATATCTGTAAAAGAAACACTAGCTACTGTAGCAGGTTTTGCGCACGTCCGCAAGTATAACACTGAAATCATCGTCAGCCTTGGACACGTGTTCCATATTCTGAGGCTGCTGCTGTTGTTGCGATTGCGGCTGTTGATGCTGTTGTTGCGCGGCCGAATGATCAGGGTACTTGGACACTTCTAGATTCTGTTGATGATACTGTTCCATGGTGTGACCGATCGCGACATTGGAACAACGAGCGTCCTTGCTGCTCTGTTGATCGTCAACGATGCACTGAGAGTTCGACATGTCCAACTGGGACGGTGCACCATAATAGCGCAGATCGCTGGCGTAATTATGATTGCTATCCAACATATTCTGCGACGACAGGCTCGAATGTGCCACGCTTGTCGGATGGGAATACTTGAAATATTTTTCCAACTGCAGCGCTTGCTGCTGATGATCTTCCTCGGTACTCATGCCAGGATCAATGTGGCCACTAAGAATCGCGTGCTGCTGCTGAGCGCTGCCCGAGTCTGTCTGGTATTCCTGATGATGCGACATTTGGTATCGGTGCGTCACTGTGCCTGTAATAAATTACAGGTCGAACGATGATGTAAGCATAGCATAACGGAACCGAATAAATGCGTGATATGCATATGTAAAAATATTTACAAAATTGATTGTATTATAATACTTGGAGAATCATTGTAATTCTTTCTAATATAATTCAGTAATTATACTTGTTTTTGAAAAAATTCAAATATTTTTTTATATTCACACATGATTTCTGAAAAAAATAATTTTATTTAAAAAAAGAAGGTATAATCAAATTTTTCCAAAATTTCCAAATTTTTTTTTTAAAACTTTCTTGTAAAGAATACATGTGTTGTCATCTTCTGACTCTGGGTAAGTACAAATCTCTAAATCTGATATGAATAAACGAGAAAAGAATGTTACCGGAACAACTTTCGGCTCCGCGGATTCCCATGGACTGCTGTCGATTACTGGCGCATTGAACTGGATTGTAATTGCTTTCGACGGTGGATTGCATCGAATAGTTTGTCGCGCTCTTGGACGACTGCGTGTTACTGTAATGTTGCAACGATTGATCGTGCGGCGAGGCGACCGGCGGATAAAACGTACCCGTGACGGAACCGACATTGTCAAAACCGGAGCGCAGCTTGTTGCACGATACCATCATACCGTTTGCAATACCCACCGCGGCTATGCTCGTCGACTGTCTCTCAAAGTTCAAATAACTCACCTGATGGAACCAAGAAATATTCGAGACTGTTAATTGAGAATTTTATAACATATACAAATAAGTTTAATTTAACAAATTAAACTTATTTGTATATGTTATATTGTTTGTAAAATTGCAAGTAAAATGATGAGATAATTTATGGATGAAAAATTATAGCAAAAATTAGAAATATGTCAAAAATATATGTAACGTACAGATTTCTTATATGTTAACGTATCCGTATAACTGCCGGAATTCTGACACGACGATACGTTAGTATTGCTGGCATGACCCGTGTGTAATTGACTGTCGCCGCTCATAAAGGTGTATCGTTTCGTTTGATCAGTCATATCTCCGTGTTGCTTCGAGGTACCCTCCATCAAATCTCGTTCCGGATCCGGATTCTGAGCAGACGATAGATGGCCGCCGTCACCTGGTGATTAAATTCCGATTGTATATGCGACGATTTGATAATAATTTAATTAGTCCACGATATCGCATCTTATATATTTTATATGTCAATTTTAACACGTGTATCTAATACTATTAGCTCCAATAAATTTCTTCAGGCATCTGATTTATTATTGCTTTAAAGATTCTTACCGTCAGGTTCGGGACTCGCCACCGGAGATATATCCGGGGTGTGAATAATGGGCGTGTACGGGCTACCGTAAAGCGAATTATTTTCCGACTTGTATTCCTGGATACCCTGTTGCTGCTGATGATATAGGGATGAGATCGGGGAATGGCCACCCCACGGAATCTGAGGTATGCCCTGGTAACTGTCCATCTTGGACCTTAATTGCATTTCGATTACGTATTATATACTTGAGAATACAATGTTCTTTGATTATATCATGTATTGAGATGAGATGGAATGATTCATAAATGTCTCTACTTCAAAGGATGAATTTACGCTAAAACACATACATGAATCTTACGTAAGCATCATAATAATAATTTCTATCTTATAAAAGATAACTTATTAATCATCTTGTCAACGAATATTTCTTTATCGAGATGATTATGTTTGAAAAATTCAAATATTGTTAAATCTCGAAAATATAACGTCATGTCGTCGAGATCATAAGCGTCATCGTCGTCGGCGCGTCTCGCTTCGTTTAAATCTTAGCGAGATCTCTCAATTAAGGCAGTTTTACTCGTACGTGCCTTCATTAGCGGAAAGTATGGGCCAATATCGACTTACATGGAATGATGAATCGTCGGGCCGGTAGGGTTAGACCTGTTGCCCGCGGCGTTGGTCGCCGAGGGAGGCGAGGATGGTGCACCGGGTGTCCGTTTCGCGTGCTTTCTACGCCGCGGCCTGTACTTGTAATTCGGATGTTCCTGCATGTGTATGACCCGGAGCCTCTCGGCCTCCTCGACGTAGGGCCTTCTGTCTTGCGGCGTCAGTCCTCGCCATTTCTTTCCTGAAAGGAACAGGAATCGCAGTTTAATAAAGAACGTCAGACAGAGACGAACCAAACAACGAAAATGATTAAACGACACACGGTATATACAGCTTACCAGTCGCTCCAGGATTCCCTCTGCGTGCCGCATGAACAATCGAAATATAAAGGATGTAATATAATATTTTGTCAGAGTGCGATATATATTTATATACATGTATCTGCTTTAATATTAAAATATATTTGAAGGATGAAATTTTGAGATGTTTTATAATTATATAAACTGGTAATAATGAAATTAATAAACATTTATGAATAAATAAAAATAGAGAATATTAATTTAATTACTTTTAAAAATCAATTTTAATTAAGAAAATAAAAGTTAGGTTTATAATATATTTATTTTTCTTTCTCGCTAAATATGTTAGAGGTTGTTATTGTATTTGTAGTAGTAATAATATTTTTGTCACGAGTATTTGAAAAATCCCGTTCACAATCAAAGATTAAGCCTTAAATTTAAAATTAAAATTCGAGAATTAATATTAAAATATATTTGAAAAATGAAATTTTGAGATGTTTTATAATTATATAAACTGACAATAATGAAATTAATGAATATTTATGAATAAACAGATAGAGAAATAGAGAATTAATAAATATTAATTTAATTATTTTTTAAAATCAATTTTAGTTAAAAAAATAAAAGTTAGGTTTATAATATATTTATCTCTCTTTCTCGTGAAATATGTTAAAGATTGTTATTGTATTTGTAGTAATAATACTTTTGTCACGAGTATTTGAAAAATCCCGTTCACAATCCAAGATTAAGCCTTAAATTTGAAATTAAAATTAAAATTCAAGAAAGAGAGACAAGAGTAAGTAGTTATTATCTATTGCCCCTCCTCTCGAAAAATGAATTTATCGGGCAAAAAACGCTCGAAGACGTTTGCCGGTGCGCTTTAATATATCGATCCTCGCGGGAGAGATCCTCGCGTCCGTAAATACTCCGATAAATTACGCTGCTCGACAATAATGGGGCGAGCCCCCGGTGTATACATCTCGATATCCCGAATCTCGATAAAATCGTCGGTCGATCCCTTTAGCTAACGACGCGCTTAATTCGGCCCGCGAGAGAACAGCCCCTATCTCTCTCTCTCTCTCTCTCTCTTTCTCTCTCTTTCTCTGTCGTCGCCTCGATATACGTGGCGCAAAACGAGCACATAAATGGTCTCTCGTATATACACAACATACGTACGTACGTACGGATACATACGTATCTGTATTACAGGTGGGCTTGGTCGGCGGCGGCGGCGGCGGCGGGTCTTGGTCTGACGACCAAGCCTGGAATCTGCCTCAGTTGCGTTCAATATGCCAACATGGTAGGCCGGAATATCATTAAGCGAGGCATAGGGTTCATACGAGCATAAGATGCTCGCGACAAGAACGAAAAAATTGAGGCGGATTTATATACTACGCATACATATATATATATATATATATATATATATATATGCACACATATAAATATATACACACACATGCGGGATTATGTCTGTAAATATATATATAATAATAATAATATATATACACATACATATATACAGATGTATATGCATATGCGTGTCTTGTATAGGTACATAGGTACATGGGGGCGTAGATATGGGTGCGCCCGTGCCTTCAGCCAGCCACAAGGCACGAACCATTATTTCATATTTCATTTTGTATATTTCAACTCTCCGGAGGAGAGAGACGCTAACCCGGAGGACTCCGGAAGAGGGGCGGGAAAATAAGAGAGAAATCGCACTTTGGCACGTCAGACTCGAGCGTCCCCTCTTTCTCTTTCAAGTTAACGAATTTCGTGGACAATCGCAAGAACGCATTTATATTTATGTATATTTTTTCGAAACGTTATTACGAGACAAAGGAAGGCGAAGAGAGACAACGGAAGAGAGAGAATTATTCGCAAAAGGATATCGCTTTTGTCGCGTGACAATTTCTTTTTCTCGTCAAGCGACTCCTCATTTTTTTCCAGGGTTCCCGGCCAACCGACTCTTCGACTTCTTTGTACGAGGAAAAAAGGAGAATTCAGAGGAGTCCGCGCGACAAAAGGGACACAAATGAGATTTTCGGCTAACAATAAGTAAACTTAATTTAATATTCCTGGGCGTGCGCGCACTCGCGGTGAGTTACCCGGCGATGATTCATCATCACACCCGCGCACGCTGCGTCCCACCGTGATGTCCTCGTTAAGTATTCTAATGGTTGGCGTGTACCTCTAATTTACCGCGCTTAGGCCGAGGTCTCGTCGGACGACTTCATTAATTTCGAGCAAAAAGCGGCGACGTCGGATTAGAAGCATGAATGATTCTTCGCTTATCGTCGATCTTCTTGTCCAATCCACGTAAACGAATAATGAATTAAAACACTTAAATGCCCTCTTAATTTGACACGGACATTTGGACCATCAGGTCGTGTGGATATTTCGTACATAGAAAAAAAAAGACATTCTTGTTTTGAAAATATATCTAGTTTTAACATGGAAATCTTGAAATGAGATTATATTGCGTTAATTAAAGAAAAATATAATTGCTTACTTGTATGAAGTCATATTATACAGTTTAATCCAGAAAAATATATTCTTATAATTTAAGATTTAATATTTTTGAATGGAAAAGAGACAATGTTGGAGAAAATAATAATTTTTAAGTCAAAGATTATAACTTTCTTACAGTAGAATTAAATAATTATATATTCTTGAGGTGACAATTATAATATTAAAATAAGACTGTAATATTGTTAAAATTTAAAATTATTAAATTCCTCTAAGAAGATTATAAATTGTTGCGTATATATACGAAACAATGAACGCGTTAGTTTAAGTATACAGGTTTTGACATTTATTTTTTTCCTGTGTGTCAATCTTGTTTTTTAATTTTAATAAGGATAAGAATTTTTGTAGGAGCTATAAATATTGTCAGGTCATAGAATAGAACATTTTCAAGCGAAAAAAATTGCTATAATTGTTGTAGCAATATCATACTCTGATTAAAATTGCTCTTTTTATCGTGCAATCTTTTTTAATGATTATAAACATCTCGGATAATCCTTAATACACACGACACAGATGCTTCCTCAATCTTTCGACCCGCGTAATTTAAGTATATCAGTTTTGATTTGACACTTTTTCTGTGTAAGAATGTTCGATGTAGGCTCCCCGTATCGCAATTTCGACTCGCGCGGATCTATCTAACGTGAATCTAACGGAGAATGTAAAATTAGCATCGCGACAAATTACGAGATTCCTGCGAGCACTCGATCGCGCGCGAAATCACGCGTGTCAAAAGGTCCTAATCGCGCCGCAAAGTCACGGCGGCAAGAATCTCGGCGAATCTCCGCCGCGGTTTCCACAGTCGTTGACATTTTCCAGAAAGCCCGCTCGTTTCACCGCCTAATTAACGATTCCGCGGTGATTTATCCACGCGGTCGTCGCGTAATTCATTCGGCCAGCCGGCCGGCTTTCATTAAACTCCGCCGTTTCTCCCCCCTTCCTTCTGCCCGGGGAATCGCGGGAATTTCGTTATGGTCGCGAACGCGGGACTGGCACGTGACATTTTCGAGGAGAATCGAGCGAGAAACCTCTCGCACGCGGCATTTAGAATATTAACAGTCGCTCGTAAGGAGTTAGTCCTCCCGCCACGACTTTAATTACGCATACCCGATAAATCTTCCCTACAACCGGATTCAAATATTCCTCGCTCGCGAGAGCCGGCCGTCGTAAAGTATAGCGTCAAACACGCTCGTAAATCTATCGGGGCTCGTTCTCGAGCGGCGATCGCTCGGTTGACACGTTCGGCTCGACAGTCGCCTCTTGTTCGCGCCAAACGATTTCTCGATCGCGGATCCAAATTCGCGTCGGATAAATAATACGTTGATGCGTCTACGCGACGGAAAGGAAGAGAAGAGGAGACGAGGAAGAGAGAGAGAGAGAGAGAGAGAGAGAGAGAGACGAGGAAGAGGGCCGGAGTCGAGGCCCACATCGGTGGGACCGCATCGCGCGCACCCCGCCCAACCTGGGTCGCCCACTGTCACCATTAATAATACGTCTCCGGTCCCGTGATGTATCTCATCTCCCGACGGCGTTGTGCGCGCGTCCGCTCTTACACAGATGCGCAGCATCGATGATGCAGCTGTATCCGTGTATTAAAGGGAGGAAGGAATTGTCATTTCCGAAAAAGAATTATCGTTTTCTCAAATTCGGCCCAAGAGATTCCAAGATGAAATAAATAACTAAACCTTCCTTGGTTAATAAGAAAGCGATGTGCGAAAGATGACACCGAACTATATTATTGTTATCGAAAATAGCGGTAAGAACCGAGCTCGGTGAAAGGTCCCTTCGTCTTTTGCCAACCGTAGGTTGACAGCAGTCGAGAGTAAGAAAGGGAGATATAATTAACTTGTAAAAAAAATTAGATCGCTAAATTTGGAGCTAGTGGTGACTCTCGAACGATGACGTTCACTTCGACAGTTGCTCTCAGGACAAAGACATGGACAGGTTCGTTGGTAGGTAGATACACGCGATGTACATCGAGCACATTCAGACACGTCGAGTGTGGCACGTGGACGAAACGTCTCGCCTCCTTTGTGGACAATCTCGACGAGAACGAGATTCCTACCCTCGGCACAAAGAAAGACTTATCTGTCAGGGTTTGTGCGATCTTAATGAAGTATCTCGGAAGGAGGCGAGCAGTTTCGAGGTACTCGATGACGCGGAGACAAGGAAATTGTAACACCCTTTAGCTTTGAACCTGGTGGTTTCTCCCACACGTCCTCGAGAACGATTCGAAGAGAAAAATAAATGGACATTAACGTCTGTCTCCTCGATGAAGAATCGAGGAAAAAGCGCGTTAGTCGCGGCTTGTTCTTCAAAACGACGCGTCGCTTTGCCAAGAAACCGCGCAAAGAAACACTTCCGCGCTGCCAGGGGAAAGACAGTGACACGTTCCCGTCGAGAGTACGCGTTA